TAGAATCACAGTTCTGAGTTGGAAAAGACCTCAGGTCATCTAGTATACAGGGAATTCCTGTTTGAATGTGACATCCCCACCAAATGGATATCCAGACAACTCACTCCCTCACGGGGCAGTCTTTCCCATTTTTGGATAGCTCTAATGACTGGGAAGTTTTACCATGTAATGAGCTAACCCCTGACTCTGAAGCTTCCACCCATCACCCTCTTGGGTCGAGCTGAACAAAGCTAATTTCTCAGTCATTTGACAGCCTATCACATACTTGAAGACACCTGTGATGCCCCCATCCCCACCCCAATTCTTCCCTTATCCAAGCTAAACAAACATCCTCAACTTCTTTAACCAGTCCTTGCTTGCCATAGTAATTGATGATTTAGTGGGAAAGAGGTGTGGATTTGGAATCAGGGTTAGTAGTTTTAAATCTCAGTCCAATCAAATAGCATTTTGACCTTGGGAAAAATCCCCTCTCTCTAGGTCTCAGGCTCGGACTAGATGACCTCTAAATTCCCTTCCAGTATTAGATCCAGAGGTTTTAAGCCCCCCCAAATTGTGGCCACCCTGCACTAGACACATCAATGTCCCTCCCGTAACATGGATTCTAGAATTTAATTTAGTTCAACATTTATTAAGCATCTCAAAATAAGAGGTTTTAAAGGATAGAGAGGGCCAGCCTTGGAGTCAGAAAGACCTGTGTTCAAATTCTGCCTCTCACACATATTCCTGACATAGAGATTATTTCCACTGATGAATATGCTCAGTCTACTATACATCCAATTCAAGATGTCTGAAAGGCAGTTGGAGATATGAGATTGGAGGGAGACAGAGAGATTAGGGCAGGATAGGTAGATCTGAGAATCATCAGCATGGAGATGATAGATAATTAAATCCATGGGAGCTGATAAGACCAGTAAGTGGAGCAGTAAAGAGGGAGAAGAGAAGCCAGCCCCAGACAGAGCCCTATGGGACACGTATAGTTAGGGGGCATGACTTGAATGAGGACTCAGCCTAGGAGACTAAGGAGTAGTCAAACAGACAGAGAGAGAACAAGGAGAGAGTAGTGACCTGAAAACCTGGAAAGAAAAATGATTGAGCAGAAGAGGGTGAGCAACAGTATCAAAGGCTGGGGCAGCTAGGTGATGCAGTGGATAGAGCACCGGCCCTGGATTCAGGAGGACCTGAGTTCAAATCGAGTCTCAGACCAGACACTTGATACTTACTAGCTATGTGATCCTGGGCAAGTCACTTAACCCCAATCGTCTTGCAAAAAAAAAAACCACCTGTATCAAAGGCTACAGATTCAAACAAGCTAGCAATGCTAAAAAATGGGAAACTGATGATAAAGAAGAAAATATAGGTAGGAAACATCACCATTTCCTACAGAATTTTAACTTCTATAAAGCAATCACCATAGTTAGGAGACCAAAGTAGCTTAGGAAATTGCTTTAGCCAACAAACATTTTATTTCCTTGGCTGGGAGGCATTATAGCCATGGGCAAAAACAGTATAGAATATAAGCAAATTTGTAAAACATCATAGAGGAAGACAGCAGAAAATCATATGCTGTATAATCTTATAAAATGATGGTGAGTACGAAATCAAGTTGGAACCAAGCAAAAATCATCCCTCGAGCTTTTAAAGCATTTATATCCCAAGAGCAATTATAGAATCCTGGGAGGACAATAGACCCCCCAAAAATGGAACAAATAAGCTAGCATTCTGTCTGTCACTAATGGCATGTGGAACCTCCACATTTGAACTGGGACACTTCAATCCCAAATGTGCTACATAATGAGGAGGTAAGAAGTAAATGGTATTTTCAAAAGACAAAAAATGAGCAATATATGCATGCTGGAATAACACAATGTTGAAAATATTAAGGGAGTCATTTTTCAAGATATCCGAAAGGGAAGAAAATATTGAATGAATGGGAAAAGTTATGGGTGGTAATTCCCAAGGGGGGAAAAAAAGGCCATTGGGATGTTATCAATAACTTTTTACCAATATTCCTATTTTTTTTCATCTTTTTCAAAATCTTTATATTGAAGGTATCCTCAGTGAAAATATGAGAAGGGAAAGTTTTCACAAATGACTGATGGTAGTCACATAGAAGACAATATTCCCACAGACATGCCAACGACTGAGAGGGATAGAGAATGAGATTCCATCGCACTGTGCGTTTGGATTACACACACACACACACACACACACACACACACACACACACACACACAAGCATTTGTCTCCATGGGACCAAAGGCAGTCCTAAAGGCTTTCCCCCATGGGCTCTGCTCATCATTGTTAAACGAAAACATTAAACAGGGAGATATATCTGAACTAAAACTTTTTGCCTTCGTCATGTATGATCTTCTGTGCAAAGTTCAAATGGGGTGGGGGGGGAGTTCTCTATAAATAGTAAAGTTTTCCAACCACTCCTTTTGGTGGGCTACATTGCATTGGATGGAAGCTCCTTGAGGGTAGACCATTTCATTTTTTGTCTTTGTATCTTCGGTGTCTAGCACAGTACTTTGCATCTAGTAGGTGCTTAATACACACTCATTGAATTGAACAACTGATTGACTTGAAACCTAGAGCCTTATAGAACCTCTCTTTGAGATCCAGGGCATTAAAGAGGCTGATTTTGTAGCTCACAAAGGAAAAAGCAAGAGGGTATTAGAACATATTTGGCCCAGGTTATGATATTATGACATGCAGTTGGATTGATTATCCATTGAGTTAGCCCATTGGTACATGCTTGTGTGTGTGTGTGTGTGTGTGTGTGTGAGCATATATTGTCGTTCATCCTTCATTTTTGAAGACCAGCAACATCATGAGTGATGTCTTGACTTCTGAGTGAATTAGATTTAAGTGAGGCAGAGCTGCACAAAGTCATCAGCTTCACTCTCTCTTTCAGAGTCATCAAAGTCCGGTGGCAAGACAAAAATCAGAACAGAAGACAGGACTGAAGATGGCCTGGGGACAGTGGATGACCTCGGCATCTTTGATGGCTGACCAAACTCTAAGCGCTTCATAGCACCTGTTCAGCCACCTTCATGGCCATTGAACGTTGTTCTCATCCACCCATTCCTCTGTGGGAAGTCCTCACATGCTTGGAGTAGACATCCCCCTAACTCACTAATAGGTTTGAGGCCTATGAGTTACCCTCGACTTGATACAGCCTGCCTGCCAAGATGGTTTTACCAGGGTGTGGCCGCTGTGCAGGCTTCTTGGAGCCCCAGGTGAGAGGTGAAAGGTGGACACCAAAGGTGGATGAGCAGCCCTGAAAAGCGCCCAGCAGGTCCTCACACCAGAGGTGCTAATCTTCCTGGAACACCCCATACAGACTTTCACGTCAAACAGGTACTGGGTGAAGATGGGAAATAACCTAGGTTCCTAATTGAAGACAAGGAGCTTGGTAAATGCTTACTGGGTGACCGACAGAAGCTCCCGTGGTGTTTTCAGTGATGCCAGGCTGTGCCCTGATGCCAATGCCCTTTTTACAAAGTTAGATGATAAGCTCCCTGAAGGCAAGGACCGTCTGCCTTTTTCTTATTTGTATCCCTAGCACTTAGCACAGTGCTTGGCACAAATCAGACGTTTAAATGCTTATTGACTAAAAAGTATGGATACATGTAGACATACTTTTATGTGCATTTATATAGTATATTTTCCGCACTGATACCATACAGTTACAAATCTTAAAACATTACAATATGAAAAAAAAAATACAAGCTACAGGTGATGAAGGTAATGGAAGGACACCATAGGCCAGGCCTAAGTAACAGATTGTCAATGACACCTTATGCATAAAAGGTCACATAAAAGAAATAAAGGCCACACATGACCAGAGGGCAGGGTGGGCCCATTATCACAGACAGACAGCCTAGGTGTAGTGTGGCACAGGGGAAAGAGCAGTGGCTTTGGGATTGGAAGACTCGAATTCAAATTCCACCACAAGGGCTCACTACCTGTCTATCTTTAGGCAAGTGATTTAGTTTCCCTGGGTCTCACTAGCCTCATCTGTAAAATCAGAGTATGGATCTAGAAGCCCTCCAAGGGCCTCCAACTGCTCCAGGGCAAGCTATGATCCTACAGTCCTGAGAAAGGTCTCCTAGCCTGACCCGCTGATTCCCTCTGGAAGACGATACGGACAAGAATCACAGAGGATAAGACAGTTGTGGGTAACTGGGAATCTGCACTGTTGGAGGGAGCGCCCACGCTGATGATCCTTACAACCTGAAGAGCTCGGTGGCCTTTCTCGATCACCTCACAGAAGCGCTGTGGGATCAGAAGAAATATTATAATAATAACTATTGTATTATGACATGTTTATTATTATGGCATATTAAGTATAATGGTATAACAAAATATCAGAATATAATATATAAAATATAAAGTTATATATGTATATAAAATATGAGAATAACTTCCTTTAACGTTGAAGGTATTATACATGGTATCTCATTGGACACCTCAGAGCAACCCTGGGAGGTAGGTGGTATGATCACTTCTGCTTTATAGCTGAGGAAACTGAAGCAAACAGAGGTTCAGTGACTTGCCCAAGGTAAGTATCTGAGGCTGGATTTGACCTCAGGATTTCTTGACTCAAAAGCCCAACCTTCTTACTATGCTACTAGCTGTCTCCTACGTGAAAGTGTAAACAGTAACAGTAAAGTGTCATACATAAACATAGGGTAGAATCATCATCATTATTCTTACTTTTATAATCCCAGAAAAGACCTGGACAGTTGTCATATTACCAAGTACTTTCAATTCTAGGAGGATTGTAGTTTTTATTGTTGTCTTTAAGTCATTTCACTCACGTCCAACTCTTTGTGACCCCATGTGGGGTTTTCTTGGCAAAGATACTGGAGTGGTTTTCCATTTCCTTCTCCATTTCATTTTACAGATGAGGAAACTGAGGCAGACAGGGAGAAGTGACCTGCCCAGGGTCACATAGCTAGTAAGTGACTGAGGCCAGATTTGCATGGAGATCTTCCTGACTTCCAGGCCCAGTACTCTATCTACTGCACCACTTGGTTGCCCAGATTGTAGTTCACTCTTGTTTAAATCTAGGATTTTTTTTCCCTATTTCTTGATAATCATGACATTGTTTTGAAAATTCATTCACAACTTCCAAAATGCTATATAGGCCACAGCGACATAACCTTCTACAAATGAACATTTGGATCATGTTTCTTTAATATTTTACCCCAGAATATAACTCCTAGGGTAAAACATTCCATAAGGTCCCTATAATTCCATTTACATTAGTATACTTAGGGATTATAAAAGATCCTCCTAATTCTTTTTGGCTAAAATCTGTGAAACCAACATTCTGGAGAGTTTTAATGACCACATAAGTAAGCCACCAGTTATGAGCTTTATCAAAGCATTAAGATTCCTCTTTATTTTCTCCAACTGTTTTAAGACAAAGAGGCACATGGATGCATAGAAATAAAGTCACTCTTGAAGGAGCATGGGTGTGTTTGGTAGATGTTGCCTACAACAGTCTTTATTGCTTATTATTGTCATTCAGTTTTTTCAACATTCTCATATCATTTTGCTGTCTTTTGGGTGGAGAGGGTTTATGGAAAATTATATGTCTTCCTGATTTCTGAAAGAGCTGATTTTCTGGTGAAGTCTGTGGCCTGCAAGGAATTTCCAAGGAGCCAACAGCATTAAAAGGCTCTGAGATGGGTGTTTGCGGGCACCAGTTATATGAGAGAGCTGAAGATGCCCTTTTCTTGGAGATTTTAACATGTTCTCTGGGCTGCTGAAAGCTGTTTTCTTCCCAGATGCATCTTTCTCTTTCTTCAACGAGGCGTCCTCTCGACAGCTCCATATTTCCACGTTGTTTTGCACCTGCTGCTTAATGATCTCCTTTGCTGGGCTGCAGGTAATGAATCTCATGCTCTTCTGCCCTTTCCCTAAGACGCCCTTCATGCTACTATCCTCTAAGACTTTGTAGGAGTCCAGGCTCACGGCCCTCTGCAGCTTAGCGGCGCTGCTGCTGAGCGGAGATTTTAGAGTGCTGAAATTCTGAGGCCAGTGGTACTCCAACTTCCCCTTGGAGATTTTCTCCTGCACTAAGTTCCCCTTGAAATTGTCATGGCTGGAGCTCCGGCCTTGAACATTCCCTTTATTTTGGCTTTTTCTCTCAAGCTCCCTCACAAGGCTATAGAAAGCAAAAGAGACCAGGCAGTCTTGAGGTTGCACGAATTCCAGGAAATAAGTGTCTTAAAGACTGAACAGAAACTTACCGGAGGAGCTCTGAGGTGGAAGAGTGAGAAGGCCCCAGGTAACTAATTCTTAAATCCAGTGCCCGCTGCAAAAATCCAGTTGCCTCTTGTTCGGACTGAGTAGAAACATCACTTTTCATCAATTGACCTGCAAAGCAGGAAGAAAAGAATATAGCTTGATCCATGTACACTTCAATTTGCACCTTCAGAAACTTACAATTACAATGGATAAAATGAAACAAGAGGTACATTAGTAAAAGAGCTATTGACTTTAAATGTGCTTTAAGTGGGACAAAGGTGAGTTCACAACCAGAGGTGTCTCAATTCAAAATTAGCCAGTGTCCAATGTATTTTACAGTCTGTCTATTTCTATGTGTCAGGATCTTGCGGGTGTGAACACACCTTCCACTGGTATAGATCTCCACACCTTCCCATGGTGCATGGTTCCTGTCTGGTTCCTTCCATAATACCTCTGTTGTTTATCTCCAGTTTATCTTGTCCATCTCTTGGTTGTCCATGGTCGTTTTCATGTTGTTTCCCCCATTAGATTGTGAGCTTCTTGAGGGCAGGGGCTGTCTCGTACCTTTCTTTGTATCCCCAGCACTTAGCACGGTGCCTGGCACACAGTAGGCATTTAATAACTGCCTGTTGACCGGATTTGCTATTACAAAAGGGCTGAATTTATAGCATCATTCATAAACTTGAAATTCAAGTTGTGACACATGAATCTTATTGGCACTAGTCTATGGCACAGGTACTGTGTGACCCACTCTAGTATATCAAAGTGGAGGACAAGATGGGCACACGGCCTAACAGCCTTTCCATGTACTTGTTCGTCCAATCTCTACAGGTGCTAATCAGACTTAGTTCTATTCAACAGTGACTTCAGTTTGCAAAGTGCTCTCTATCATGACTACTATTTAATTGTTTTATGGTCCATGCGATGTTTTGAGCCATATTCTTTTACTCAATAAACTCCCATGGCTCCCTATTCCCTCCAAGATCAAATACAAAATCCTCTGTGCGACACTCAACGCCCCTTATCACCTGGCCCCCTCCTACCTTTCCAGTCTTCTTACACTTCACTCCCTGACATGTACTCTTCAATCCAATGACTCTGGCTCCCTGCTGTCTCATAGACAAGACACTCCATCTCTCAGCGCCCGCCATTTTCACTGGCTGTCCCCCATGCTTGGAGTGTTCTCCCTCTGATGGCTGCCTCCTGGTCTCCCTGGCTTCCTTCAGGTCCCAAGTAAAATCTCATCTTTTACAAGAAGCCTTCCCCAACTCCCAATTTCTAGTGCTTTCCCTCTGTTAATTATGCCCTCCTTATCTTGTGTATAGCCTGTTTGTACACATCCGTTAGCTTGTCATCTCCCTCATTGGTTTGTGAGCTCCTTGGGAAAGGACTGTCTTTTGGGGCAGCTAGGTGGCACAGAGGATAGAGCACCGGCCCTTTAGTCAGGAGGACCTGAGTTCAAATCTGACCTCAGACCAAACACTTGACACTTACTAGCTGTGTGACCCTGAGCAAGTCACTTAACCCCAACTGCCTAAAAAAAAAAACCAGAGTAAGACAAAGGACTGTCTTTTGCCTCTTTTTGAATCCCTAGTGCTTAAGTAAACAATTAATAAATGCTTCTTGACTGACTGACTGATGGTCAGGTGGTCTTCCTGAGGCCATTCTGCTCAGCAATGCATGGCCATTTTTCTTCCTTTTAATGTAATTTAGTAAATTGAGGAGGTAGCTGGGGGCAGGTGCCAAGGGCCCAGAACTTGGGGCCTGGTTTTCAATCCCAGCTCAGTCTCTCATGATCCATGTGGTATCAGGAAGCGTCTCTCCCTGGGCCTCAGTCTCCTCATATGACAAGGCTGAGTGTTCAATAAACACTCTGAAGTTCAACAAAACTACTGAAAGTTTGACAAAAACTGCTGGGAAAACAGGAAAGTTGTTTGGCAAGAATTTGTTGTAGAACAGTAGCCCTCATCATGTAGCATAAATCTATGCATTGGGAAATGATTGTGAGGTCAGAAACAACAGACATAAATAAAACAAGGGGATTGGCCTGGGTGTGTTCCAACGTTCCTTCCCTGTCTAAGTCCTACGATTTTATGAATCATTGAATTATGCCCCTAATTGGTTAAGCAGATGTCTTTTCTGTCTCATCCCACATAACCAGGCAGCCCAGAAGAGCTGAGCTCCATGGAGCTGGGTGGGTCTTAGAATAGATGGAAAGCTTGACCCTGAACCTCAAGGACAACCCCAAGCCCAGGCTCTATTCTTGGGAGTTCTTCAGGACAACAACTCATTCAGGATCAGACTGAACTCCGATTCATCAACTTAACAATGGAAAGGAGCCCTTGGACCTGCCCCTTAATGCACACCTACTTCCCAGAGCGACCAGGGAGATGAAGTGGCCTCTAAGAGTGGGAAGAGTCAGAGCATCATTTCCCCCTTCGCATTTATTTGTTCCAAGGGAAACTACCATCAAAGCTTTGGGGATGAGCACGACAAGGACAAATGGCTGTCAACACCCGCCTTCACATTCCTCAAACTCTGCCTAGTATGGTGAGCACGTGTCCCATGGTCCATTTTCCAGTCATGTCCGACTCTTTGTGACCCCATCTGGGCTTTTCTTGGCAAAGACACTGGTGTGGTTTGCCATTTCCTTCTCCAGTTCATTTTACAGATGAGGAGACTGAGGCAAACAGGGGGAAGTGATCCGCCACGGGTCACACAGCTCATAAGTGTCTGAGGCTGGATTTGAACTGAAGAAGATGAGTCTTCCTGACTCCGGGCCTGGCGCTCTGTGCGCTAGGACGCCACTTAGCTGCCTTCAGAAGCTGGTTTAGGTGATTTCAATGTGGAGGTGGTAGCATTGCCTGGTTCCTGTGCAGGCCCTACCTACCCACTTGCCACTCATTTCCAAAAGCCATACTCTCCTTGTTCCAACACAGCCAGTTTCTGACTTAAAGTTCCCTCCTACCCTATAACTTTCAAGGTCTGCATCAATGTTCCCATCAGTTAATAGAACATACTGCGTGCTCTTTACAGATCTGAGCTCAGTGATAATGAATAAGATTGTTTTTTGGTCCAAAAGCTGGCTTACCGAGGGTCAGAGGGGCTCTTCACCAGTTGGATCAGAATTTTTCAGCCATAGCAACTCATGAAGACCATTGACTATGTTGTGGAGGGCTGGTCAGAGGCAGAGACTTGAAAAGCATTGGATTTTTTTTTAAGGATTTGCAGAACAATTTAAAGGGTGTCAGAAAGACTCAGAGGCAGTGAAGGGCATAGCTCTAGCATGTCAATTACAAGTGGGGCTGGGGCTGTGTCCTAAAGGAGGCCAAGAACTGGGGCTTCAGTTGATGGGCGCAACTGCCATTCTCCTGGGGCCCTCTTAGCCCATGACTCAGACTCCTACTGAGTAAAAACCTTCTCCTGAAAAATTAAAATAAATCTCATTTAACTGAGATATTTTTAAGTGAAGAAAGAATTTCATATTCTCCATTACAATTGTCTTATTTTGATCATGACAGGGGGATTTGGAATTTGATGTCGGGAAAGACCGAAGGCAGAAGGAGAAGGGAAGAACACAATGAGATGGAGAGAGAGTGTCATGGAAGCAATGAACATGAGCTTGGACAGACTTCAGGAGATAATGGAGGACAGAAGGGCATGGCATACCACAGTCCATGGGGTCATGGCAGAGTTGGGCATGACCAAACAAATGAACAGCTGTCAGCCAATAAACATTTACTAAGTGCCTACTGTGTGCCAGGTACTGTGCTCAGTGCTAAATACCTACATATGCTTGTATCTACGTATACATGTATTGTATACATACTTGTCTCTCCCTTTAAACTGTAAACTCTTCTCAAGTGAGGATTACTTCATTCTTTGTAGTATATCTCCAGCACCTAGCACAGTGCCCAGCACACAGTAAATGATTGATTTGCTTAAAAATGAAGATGAGGGCTTTGGATTGAGCAGAATAACAATTATGGGTGATGGACTGCATCTCCTTTGTTCCTCAAAATACCCTGCTAAGAAGAATGCTGAGGCTCAGCACTCACCTATGACCTCATGGGCCCCCAAGTGTCAGGAGCAGGACTTGAACCCAGTGCAAGGCTCCTTTTCCTCCACTGTGCTGCCTCCCACAGGTCACCAGCTACCCAAATTACCTAATTTACACAAGACATTGCTGAGGCTGATATTAAGCTGCTTTTTCACTTGGAAGGAGTTGGTCAAGAGTTCCATGTTTTCTTTTATGTTTATCACTCCTCTGTAATACTCAATTGCATGTTTCCTTTGAAATCTGAAAGAAAGAAAGAAAGAGAGAGAGAGAGAAAGCGGTGGGAGAGAAAAGAGGAGGGGGGAGGGGAGGGACAGAGGAAGGAAGGAAGGAGGGAAGGAAAAGAAGAAAGGAAAGAAAGAAAGAAGAGAGGGAAAGAGGGAGAGAGAGAAAAAAGAAAAAAGAGAAAGAAAAAGAAAGAGGAAGAGAGAGAAGAAGGAAAGAAGGAAGGATGGAAAGAAAGAAAAACAAAGTAAATTTGGTTTAAGTTACAGAATACTGGTATTTACTGTGCCATGCCCCCTATCCCCCTAAGGCCATCTTGAGAATCTTTCTCTATGCCATCTTTTTCACTGCCCACTGCAGCCTCACCCCTCATCCCATACTCCCTCTACCTCCAGTTTCTCACCAGGCCAATCTTTTCATCTGGGCAGAAGGTTTTATGTGTCAGTGACTTTGATCTACTTGCCTCCTGACAGGAAGCAGTTCTTGGGACTTGGCAATGGAGGCAGGGGAGAAGGAAAAACACTGAAGGATCTGAGCCGGCTACAGAACGGGAAGGTGTTTTCTTCACAATTTTACCGAGCCTCTGCTCATTAAGTTCAGCTGGCCTTGCCATTAGCTTCCTGGCTACTCTGTCTTGTTCTCCTGTTACTGTGAACTAACTGCTGTTCTCAACTCTTGCTCACTGAGTTGGAAATGAGGACGTTATGGTCAGCGTGTGTGCAAGCCAAGAGGCGGCCAAAAGATCCAGGAGGGAAATTATCCCCTTGGTGGGAATCTCAGCCCTTCTAGCCACTGGTACCTCGGAGAAAAGGATCACAAAACACAAACTCCATTACTTGGAACTCTTTAGTCAGTCTTACTTTTCAGTCTTTTTAGAGCCACTTATTAAATCTGCCAAATATTCCTTAATTTCTCCAACTAAGAAATGATTCTCTCCAAACAAATTTTTTCAGATATTTAAACATTCTTGAAATTTCAATTTCGCAACAGAAAAGTTCCCAGTAAGAGATCTGAAAGTGAAATATATTATGTGTTATTAACTAGGCATAATAAATATTGGGTGACATCTTGAGAGTTACTAGAAGTTATCCTCAAATTAATCTTCTATCTCATATGAAATTCTATCTGGAGAAGCAAATTAAGGGGTCTACATGTAGCATCTAGGGCCTCCCAAAGGCTACTTCTGGGTTATGTACACAGGCATACTGTGAGGATTGCTCAGCAGCCACTCAAAGCCAGAGCCCTCACATGTATTTACCAGCCAGCCAAATGAGGCACTAGCTGAAAGCAAAAGACATGTAGTTAAATTAAATTAATAAAACGTAGCAAGGTGACAAGAAAGTATAAGGAGATAATATGGCCAAATTACCTTTTTTTGGGTAAATTGTTTTTATTTATTTTAAATTTAAACCCAAAATGAGGAAAGAAAAAAAATTGCCATGTACACAGCAGATTATAAGAGAAGATTCAACATAAAACAATAAATTTCCACACATAGATATCTATAAACACACATAAAAATATTCATACGCATATATGTAAGACCATACTATGCTTATTTCCACTTGTCATCTGTTTCTCTGAAAGTGGATGGCGTCTTCCTTCATAAGTCCAAGTCTTTCCATGTTTTTCTAAATCAACCAGCTTATCATTTCCTATACCACAACAACATTCCAACTCAATCACATTCTATCTGAGAGATTGTCTATGAAAGTTTTTCCCTCCAATTTTCTGCATTCCTTCTATTCTTGGCTACATAGATTTTATTTATACAAGAAAATGTTAATTTAAAATAATCAAAATTATCCATTTTATACTTTAACAATGCTTTCATCTTATAATTTAAGGTCTGATACTGCTGAATCTACTTCCTTTACATCTTTTTTCTCTGGTTTTTTTTTCTTTTTCTTTTCCGGCAAGGCAATTGTAGTTAAGTGACTTGCCCAGGGTCTCATAGCTAGCGAGTGTCAAGTGTTTGAAACTGGATTCAAACTCAGGTCCTCCTGACCCCAAGGCCAGTGCTCTATCCACTGCACCACCTAGCTGCCCCTCTCTCTGGTTTCTTTGAAGTTTGTGACCTTTTGTTCTTTCAAATGGCCTTTGTTATTATTTTTTTCTAATTCAGTAAGATTTTTTTTAGTAATTTAATTGGGATGACATTGAATAAATAGATTAGTTAGATAAAATGGTCATCTAAAATTATATTGGCTTTACCTACCCATGAACAATAAATATTACTTCAATTATTTAGACCAGACATTATTTGTATAAAAAGTGTTTTATGTTTATGTTCATATAGTTCTTATGTCTGTTTTGGCAAGTATACGCTCAGGTCCTTTATACTGTCTAGTTATTTTTAAATGGTCTAAAACAATATTGAATAATATTGCTAACACATAATATAGTTTCTCTATTTTTCTCTTTTAATTAAATCTTTAACTTTGTCTGAGATCATGATTACTACCCCTGCTCTTTTTATGTAATAAATTCTACTCTTGCTCTTATATTTTATCTTTGTGTTTATCTCTCTCACATCCTTGTAACATTTCCTGAAAGCAACATATTATTGAATTCAAATTTTTAATCTGCTATCAGTTTCCACTTTATGGGTAAATTCATCCCATTCACATTCTAAGCTACAATTACTTGTGTATTTTCCTCCTTTCTATTTTCCCTATCCTTCTCACCCTATTCCTATCCTGCCTCACTCTTCTGCTTTACTTCCACCTGCTACCTTGCCCTCCTATTTCTTAACCTACCCATCCCTTCACGAATCCCTCCCTTATCCTCTTTCCCCTACCCTATCCCCTTGCCCTCTTATTTCTTTCTGAATTTAGAAGACTTTCATACCTTTCTAGATACGTATGTTGTTCCCTCTTTAATCCATTCCTAATGAGAGTAAGGTTCTACCACTACCCACTCTCCCCCATTAGCTTCTTCTGTATCAATTTTTCCTTTTATACCTCATTTGTATGATAATTATTCCTTTTTATCTCTACCTTCAGTTTTATTTTTTTTAAGACTCACCCCACGCCTTTCTTTCAAACTACCCAAATAAAGATGACAATCATAAGAGTACTTCTAATATTTTTACATATTAGAAGTAAACAATTTGACCTTATTAAGTCCCTTATTACTGGCTTTAATGTTTATCTTATATTTCTCCTGGATGTTTTATGTCAAATTTTCCCTTAAGCTTTCAGGAAAAACCTGAAAGTCTTACAGTCTGTTAAATATCCTTTTTTTTTCATTTAGGATTATGCTTAACTTTGCCGGGTAAGGTACTGTTGGTTAGAACTCCAGCTCTTTTGCGCTATGGAATATAACATTCCAAGACTTATGGTCCTTCCACATGGTAGCTGCTGGGTCTTGCCTAATTCTTAGTGTAGCTCCATGACAATTAATTTTTTTTTCTTTTTGCTTCCAATATTTTCTTCTTAACCGAGGAGCTCTGAAACTTGGCTGTGATATTCCTATAAGTTTTTCTCCTGAAATTTCTTTCAGGTGGGGATCAGTGGACTTTTCCTGTCTCTGCTTTGCGTTTTTGTTCTAGAACTTTAGGGCAATTTTCCTTGATAATTTCTTGTAACGCTGTATCAAGATTCTTTTGTATCATGATTTTCAGGTAGTTGGACAATTCTTCTATTATTTCTCCTCAATCTGTTCTCCAGACCAGTTGTTTTTCTGATAAAATGTGTCACTTTCTCTTCTGTGTTTTCATTCTCAATTTTGTTTTATTATTTCTTGGTGTCTTAGAACATCATTAGTTTCCCCTTGCCCAATTCTAGTTTTCAAGGAATCATTTTCTCCCTTAAGTTTTTGATTCCGTATTTCTAGTTGGTTGACTTTTTTTCCCCATAATTTTCTTGGTTTTCTTGGATTGCTCTTATTTTTTTTCCTAATTTTTCCTCGATCTCTCTTCTTTGATTTTTGTTTTTGTTTTTGCTAGGCAACAGGGTTAAGTGACTTGCCCAGGGTCACACAGCTAGTAAGTGTCAAGTGTTTGGTCTGAGGCCGACTTGAACTCAGGTCCTCCTGAATCCAGGGCCGGTGCTCTATCCACTGCACCCCCTCGCTGCCCCTCCCTTATTTGATTTTTAAAAGTCCTTTCTAATTTCTTCCAAGAACTCTTTCTGTGCTTGGGACCGTGTGATGTTTCTCATTGAAAAAGGAATGGCTTTTTCAGATCTATTACCTTCCTCTGAATATGAACCCAGATCTTCTCTACCCCATAGCAGCTGAAAATTGGGCTCTTTCTCCTCTGCTTCCTCATTTTTATTTATTTATTTTTGTTTCATTTCGCTTTTAGCAGCTACCAGTGTAAGCAAGTGTTCATCTCAAGGTGTGGGGAATGACACTCCAAGCCTCAGGTCCTACACACTGTTATTTTCTGAGGTCTGTGCCTGGGCCCTGCCTTGGGCCCTCCTCTCTTCTCCTGAGGCACTGGTAGGCCCCAGCCACACTGTCCCCAAAATGCTCTTGCTACCTGTGGTCCGTCTGCAAACTGCAGCTGTCCTCTCTGCCCTGGGACTGACACCAGGGGCTCTGCTCCCCTGCAAGTGCCCGCAGCCACAGGGCCCCCGTCCTTGCTACTGCACTCACCAGGTGCGTGTTAGTTCCTCCTCCCCCTCAGCAGCAGCCCAGCCCGGGACACATCTAGTCAGCACAGCTGTGCGTGGCATCCTTCAATCTTCTCCTGCTCAGCTGTCTGTGAGATGGAAGTTTCCAAGGTCGAGGCTGCCTCTCAACCCGGCTGCCCCTAGGGTTTATTGTTTGTTGATTCTACAAAAATGGCCTGGAGGTGCCTGCACTTCCCTATGGCCAGGTCTTTCCTGGAATCTTCTTAGACTCTTAGAACAGCCGCTTTACCCGGGCTTTCCTTTACTTCCTCAGTTCTACATTCCCTCTGAGGCCAGGTTCTGTCTTTTGTTGTGGAGGAAATCTGAAGAGCTAAAAGTTTTCTGAGCTATTCCACCATCTTCCCAGATTCCTCCTCCCAAGTGACTTTTTAAAATTAAATCTTTCAGGTCTACAGTCTCTCCCTCCCAAATCTCCTTCCCTCTACCCATAGAGGAAAGCAAGAAAAAAAAACCCAGCTACAAACAAACATAGTGAAGCAAAATGAAGTCCCCAACTCAGCCAAATTAAGGTCATGGATTGTCAGTAGTATTAGGGCCTTAATTAAACTTCCAGGACCTCTGTTTCTTAGTTAAATGGCGGGTGGGAATAGACTTTGCATGAAATATAGTCATCACTAAAGACTGCATGAAAGCAGAATATGTTAAAGGATGGACATACTTACTTTAGAATACCTTCTGTGCATCTCAGCAGAGCAAAATCATATGGGCTACAACAAAGGTGCATTGTGAGGTCAACAGTATTCTCTAGCAAGTGATTTTCTTTCACAGATCCTTGCCTCATTGTCTTTGCCAGGTAATGTAACACCCTGCCTGCAGGGAAAGGTATCAAAAAAGGAATACGATGCTTGAAATGCTTCCAGCAATAAGTTAATTACTAAAATGTCCAGATACAAAGGATTTCTGACAATCTCTGCTTTATAACCTTTATAACCAAGAATCCTTCAGGGGAATGTGATTTGTGGCAAGAACATTGGCTATGCAGATAGAGGTCCTGGGTTCAAATGATGACGGAAACTATTATTGATAGGGATGGGATATGGACCCCAAAAAGGAAAATCCCTTGATTTTCCCAAATCCCTGTCATTTGCCTGAGGCTGTAATCCACTTAACTGGCCTTTCATTGTGGCAATCTCCCAATTCTGTTCTGTCACCTACTAATTGCCCCTGGCCACTTCCCACCCTTAATCCTATCTAGACTCCATTCTCCCTTGGCCACATGGTCCAGGTCCCTGGCATTCTGTTCACCCCAGTTTACTGGCCACTCCCATCCAGATCTTCCTTAGACCCCTCCTCCAGTCACCCCAAACTACCTGGCCCCTCCTAGATCCTTCCCACAGTCTTTCTGTATATAAAGTCCATCTTGTCTTCGTTAAGGTGCTGAGATTCTTGAAATCTAACCACTGCTCAGATTTTTATAATCTAGCCAATAGCTCACAAATGTTCAGATTCCTTAAAAGTCTGGCCAATATGGCTGATCTTTAATAAACCCTGTCTTTGGCTGAAAGAAGGCCAGCCTGGTGGCAGTGCTCAAGTGGTCCTCCTCGTACTCTTCACCAAGGTGGGCCAGATCTCAGATCACACCTCTCCAGGCCACCCTTGACACATATCTTTTATATATATTATCCCAGGAGTTCTTAACCTGGGAGGCATGAATTTACTGTTGCTGTTTTTTAATATTTTGGTAACTATTCCAATGTAATTGGCTTCTTTTGTAATCCTATGTATCTTCTTTCATGCATTTAAAAACATTAATCTGAGAAGACGGTGTGTGGGCTTCACCAGACTGATAGCTAACGGGGTCCATGATACCAAAAAGACCAAGAATGCCAGTCTAAGAAAGCCAGCACACAAGATGTCACATTGACCATATATACACACGGTAGCCATGTAAGCAATGGCGCATGAGGAAAATACTTAAGAGCATCAGTTGAAGCAATCCGGGTGTCTTTTCCGCATTAGTCATTGGCCCTCAGCATTGTTTCCTCCAGGTTTGAAAGCTACAGACACTGGAGATCACTATGACTTAGTCAATGCCCTCACCAACAGCTTGAGAATGGAAACAATGAGACCACTGGAAGGCGTGCCCCTCAGATATTGCTTGTCATTCTTAGTCAATTCATTCCTTGTTATTCATATGCAGCATTCTTCAATTTCAATTTCTAAAGAGTCAGGATGTTACTGGCATCATAGAAGAGAGTGCAAAGATCACTGATCTAGTCCCATCTGTAAAGATGGACCAGGTGGCACCGTGAATAGAAGCACTGGCCTGGAGTCAGGAGTCCAAATGCAGCCTTAGACACCTACTGTTTGACTTTGGGCAACTCACTTAACCTCTGTCTGCCTCAGTTTCTTCAATTCTAAAATGAAGATCACAGAGTCAATCCTCTGCTTTCGCAGAGGTAACATTCTAGAAAACGGCACAAAAATAAGAAACGCTAATACTGATACATTGGACCTGTAGAAAATATGGGGTTAGGTTCCCACAACCACCAAAAACTGAATTTCTTTCACTAGAGATTGCTGAAAATACACTTTTCAGCATGTGATTCTTTATAAGAAAACATTAATTCTGATCACATGCACTTTCCCTAACATAGTAACTGTGAAATAACCCATACAATGCTGTACATAAAATAAAATTGGTAATACGCAAAACATTTTTTCTCACTAATAATTACCCAGAATTATGTGACCTTTTGTGCTGACATCTCAAATAAAAAACAAACAAACAAACAAAAAGATTTCAGACAATGCTATACTGCTGTAAACGCCTCTACCTGGGTGAGAGCTCAACCTCACCCCTGACACTCCAAATTCATGGGGAGCTCTTTACAACGACAGAGTGAATAAGACCAGTGAAGCACCTAGTAGGATATCCCCACAAACTTGCCTGCTTGGCACCTCTCACTCTTTTCTCTACTGCACACAGCCACAGATGTTGCCAATGTAAAAGTGAAAATTAGGTTACTAATAAAATCACATGAATGCTTGAAGTTCCAAAAGTTAAACCTGCAAATGTCAAGGATTGAGCATAGTAGCATTTACCTCCCAGAGTGGCTATTAGGATCAAAGAAGGGATTTGTAAAAGGGCTTAGCACAGTGCCTGGCATATAGTAGGTGCTTAATAAATGCTTCCTGCCATTCTTATTATTCCCATTTCAAACACCTTATTTAAGAAACCAGGAGACTGAGAACCAGAGAGGTGATTTGCCCAAGCTCACACAGCCAGTTCATTCGCCAACAAATGGACTGTTAGCACTGAAAGGGACCTTAGATACTGTGTACCCCAACCCCTTCACTGAACACATCAGGAAATAGGATCAGAGAGAGAAAGAGACTTGGACAAGGGCACTACATAAAATTCCCAGTGATCTCCTCTCCTTGACACCTACGACCAAACTCAGATTTCTACAGCACTTCAAAGGTTTGCAAAGTTGCTTTCCTTACTATAACCTTGTGAGGAAGGCAGTATAAATATTGTCCCCACTTACTGGATTAGGAGACTGGGGCTTGACGTAGTTAAGTGACTCGCCAGGGGTCACACTGCTAAAAAGTTATGTGAGGCAGGATTCAAATCTAGATCTCCCGACTGCAAGGGATGCTATTCTTTCTACTAGGCCACACTCCACTGCCTCTACTCTTACAGTACATACGCGGTCTCTATGACTCATCATAGTTAACTAGCAGTGCTATAACGCCTTAAGGTTGGCAGAGCACTTTACCAATATTATCTCATTTGATCCACAAAAATAACCCTGGGAGGTAGGTGCTATTATTATCCCCATTTCACAGATGAAGAAACAGAGGCAGACAGAAGTTAAGTGACTTGCCCAAAGTCACACAGCTAGTAAGTGTCTGAAGCTGGATTTGAACCTGGGTCTTCCTGACTCCGGACCACTGTTCTATCCACTAAGCCACTTAGTTGCCCACTGGACATCTTGGTACTTAATTATATGGATGAATGAATAAATGAATGAAGCATCTATTACATGATTACTGTGTGCAAAACATCATTATAAGCAGGATACACATGGAAAGGCCAGATGTCCAGTCTCTAAACCCTCCTCAGGAGGGACAGTGCAGATGGGAGGCTGCAGGCGCAGGGCAGATGGAAAGGCCTCAGGGGGCAGCAGCGAAGCCCACGAGGACACTCTTCTTTAGTGCCGTTCTGACAGAGAAAGCCAGATGTGCTTCTGATCCTGGGCTGTTCGACAGCAGACTTGGATGGTAAGAACTTTGCTTGTCTTCGGTAGCTGTGGCTGCAGTGGCGGGGGGGGGGCGGTGATGGCAGGTGATGGGGGTGTCAAGGATGGCTCTGGATGAAGATGACAGCTGCAGGGGCCAGGCTGGAAAGAGGGATGGTGGTCTAGGGGATGTTGCTATTCCCAAGGCTCCGGGGCTCATCCGAGTCTGGGGTGAGGTGGTGGTTAAGATGGCAGCAATGGTCTGACTCGGCCCACACATGCTCTCCCACGTCTCTCCCTCAGGGTGCCTGGCTGCTGCTTCAGCTAGCTGGCTTGCTGCTTTCTATCACTCAATGTGTGGGGGTCATATATGTGTTACGCTCAGCCTCCCAACATCTGTCTCTGATGCTATGAGAAAGCAGAGATGGGCCTTAAGACAAAATTAAGAAGAGCGCCTGGCTAGGCCAACACACACCAGACAAATGGCCCGACCTTAAAAGCATTAAGGGATCGTGGTATACCATATCCAAGGGAGGGGAGTGGAAGGGAGAGGGGGAAGGAACACTCATCTCTTAAGCTCCTACCATGTGCCAGGTGCTGTGCTAAGCACTTTGCAATTATTATTTCATTGCATCCTCACAACCCTGGAGGTCTACCAAGCGATGGAAAAAATCGTGGATGAAATCATTACTAAAAACATGCAACTTGACTGCTTTCAAATTGTTATGAAAAGATTTTCTGAAATCATCATGTGAATGATCTCCATATGTATCAGGGGCATCCTTGATGAAAAAATGGGAAGGGGTCAGACAGGCAAACAGCACACTTCAGCTGACTATGAATTGGCCATCAGACAGGCAATGAAAAGGGCACAGAACACGAGACCTTTGTTGATTGCCACCACCACCCAACCCCAAAACCACACATTCTCTAGTGCTCAGCTTCCTCCTCTGTAAAATAAGGGGGCTGGGCGAGATGACACCTGAACAGATGCGCCTAGGCCAGGAAACTGAGGGCCGGAGAGGTTAAGTCACACCAGGGTCTTTTTTTCTCCCATTCACAAACGGAACACGGAACGCGGAAAGGGAAGGGGAGAGGAATGTCTAAACACAGCTGGGTACTAAGTGGAAGAGGCAGGTGAGAAGGGAGGAGGATGGGTAAGGAAAAGGCTACTGGGATAAGAGTCATCATTCTCACGCTTACGCTTTCTTGGGACAAGTGAAGGCGGTCTCCTCTGCTGACCGCTCGATGGCATTATCAGCTCAAGGCACCTCGCTCAGCCACAGCAACCAGGTATAGGTGGTCAGATAGGCCGGAGGGAGGAGGCTGGGCCCAGGCCTCAGAAAGAAGGGGGGTCTATCTAATAGGCTCTTTAATTTATTTTATTTATTTAATTTTTTTAGGCAATTGGGGTTACGTGACTTGCCCAGGGTCACACAGCTAGCCCGTGTCAAGTGTTTGCTCTGAGGTCAAATTTGAACTCAGGTCCTCCTGACTTCAGGGCCGGTGCTCTATCCACTGCGCCACCTAGCTGCCCCTATCTAATAGGCTCTTGACAATGCACAGGTTACTTACAAATCTACAAAATGAGGGTTGAGGGTGTAGGGAGAGAGGAGGGACTTACCTGTACAGGAGGAAAGAGGAGGAGGAAGGACACACACACACACACACACACACACACACACACACACACACACACACACACACACACATGCTCCAAGGTTCCTCTTCAGCCCCCAGCAATGAGTGAGAAACACAACAGAGATTGAGGGAAGAAGGAGAAACAGCTTCACTGGAAGGAATATTACTATAGCACATTCTAGTTTTTCAAAGCAAAACATTTTGATAAAAGTGGAAGGCATCATCCTGGCAAGGAAAAATCATGGAATCTCAGCATTTCCAAAGCCAAAAAGGAACTTATTAAAAACTGTGTCTTCTACATTTGGTTGGTGGAACGATACAGGGAACTGAATAATGATGATGTTTTAAAGAAATAAATAAAAGGTAGGCATTTTAAAAAAATCAATCAACAAACACTTACTGTGCACCTACTACGTGACAGGCACTGTGCTAGGCCCTGGGGATACAAAGAGACAAAAGACAGTCCTGCCCTCAAGAGACTTACTTACAATCTAACGGTGGAGACAACATGCAAACAAATATAAGCTACATTCAAGATAAATCAGAAACAATTAACAGAGGGAAGGCATTGGAGTTAAGAGGGGCTGGGAAAGCCTTTCTGGAGAAGATGGGATTCTAGCTGGGACTTCAAGGAAGGCAGGGAGGTCAGCAGGCAGAGGAGGGAACTAGAAACCTACCTTTCTTAAACATATTAAACATATTACACAGAGACAGCAAGACCTTTGAGAAAGTACATCATCTTAGACAAATGAACATGTGTGTACGTATGCGGGTGCATGATGTAGCCTCATCACTGGTAGGTAGAAATTATCCTGTCCCTGGAGTCAGAAGGCCAGAGTGCAAAAATAACCTCAGGCACTCCTTGTGTGGGCCCCAGTTTTCTCCTCTGTGAAGGAAGGGCCTGTAAAAGTTAGCCTCGGAGGTTGCTGCCAGCTCTAGGTCTTTGGTCCTGAGATCCTCATCTTTACAGATAACACTGATGGCAGTGGTGAGCTATGGGTTTCCCACTGGCCTACCCTGCCAAGTTCTTGCCACCGAGAGCCCTGCGACAGCCAGCCTGCACTCAGAGGCCACAGGGCCAAGGAAGGCTCTGGCTGGTTTCTGCAGCTACTGGCTCTTCCTGTGCTCTAGGAACAACAGCTCATATCTATTTAGTACTTAGGATCAGAGACTTAGAAGGGAAGGGTTTTCAGAGGTTACCAAGTCCCGACCTCTCGTTTTACAGATGAGGGAACTGAGGCACACTGTGGTTAAAAGACTCGCCCAGGATCTCAAACCTGGTTAAATGCCTGCACCCAAGTCTTCCTAATTTCAGTTCCCATGTACTATTCCATGCTGTAGAGTTTAGAGACTTTATAATTTCTAAAGCATTTAGCTCACATCAGGCTTGAGTGATAGGTTGTACAGATACACTATCCTTACACCATTTCACAGATGAGGAAACTGTGACTCACAGAAGTTATGCAACTTACCGGGCATCATCAAATTAGTGAGGAATGAAGCAGTGGTGTGCAGGTAAATGTTCAACAGCTGGCTCTCCAGATGTGTGTGTGTGTGTGTGAGTGTGCGTACATGAATGCAGAACACACTTTTAAGTTTAATCTGCATTATTTTTAACATTTTCTCCATCACATTCTTAAGTCTAGACAAGGAATAAAACAGTGACTCAGGCCCTGGGTTTGGGGATTTCCAAGGTGTAACTGTTCACACTAACATGTTTTCTTAATAATCACTAGTTTTATAATAACCATCAGTCAGTGTGAGCCAGCTCCCACAGGGTCCTGAGCATTCTGAACCTCAGGCTCTCATACCCAGAGGCCTCTAGGAAAGCAGAGTTAGTACAAACCACAAAGCTTCCCTTTTCTCACAGATCGCTTCAGTTTCCAGTGTAGATTTTGCTCAGGGGCAGATGGGAAGCTCCTACAGAATTCCTTATAAACATCCCCCTACCTACCTTTCTGCTTCAGTCTTTCCAGATTGTGTAGGCCACTTGGTGTCAATTGTCTCCATGTGACCCATGCTCTTTGGCAAAAAAAAAAAAAGCCTTCTGTAAGGATCCTATTTCTAAATAGAGCTCTCCCAAGCCGAGCTGTACTTTGATGAGCGTTTCTGATTCCAAGTCATGCTGCAAAAAGAACAGAGCCAAGGAGCATCCAAACTAAATGCATGTGCCCGCCCCGCCCCCGGGTATCATAACTGGGACCTCAAAGTGGCAGTAGTGCCTCGAAGGCCTGATCTGGAATCAGGCCCACCTGCCTTGGGCACACTCACTCCTGGGGAGCTACAATGTCATCCCAAGCTCCCTCAGGCAAGATGCTAAGACCACAGGTTAGAGGCTGGCTGTGATCTTCTCAGGGAAAGCAGACACTCACTCTCTCTCTCTCTCTCTCTCTCTCTCTCTCTCTCTCTCTCTCTCTCTCTCTCTCTCTCTCTCTCTCTCTCTCTCTCTCTCTCTTCTCTCTCTCCTCTCTCCTCGCTCTCTCTCCTTTCTCTCTCTCTTCTCTGTCTGTCTGCCTCTCTCCCCCATTATATTTCTCATTTAGCTTCTGCACGTTTTTTTTTTTTAACTAGAGGGACATTTGCTGGCTTTTATCTTCTCCCTGCTATTCACAGCTAATTACATGGTATTACTCAATTACATGGTTTAGGGAATGAGCACAATTTTTCGTTTTGTCTCAAACAATTTATCTCTTTCGTGTATTTGTAGAACCAATGAACAATAACGAAAGCATGAATGAACTTTTTTTAAGTAATGGATTTTTTAAAAATTTTGAATGATTTCTAAGCTCACCTTTATCAACAAGTCCTCAGCTGTAATGAACAGTTCTTCAGCATCATTGGTCCTGCCCAGATAATTCAAAAATCTTGCAACAAAGCAGATCAGTTGGCATTTCTCACTGGTTGTGATGTCAGAAATTTTGCAATTCAATTCTAAAATAACAAGAAATGCAAACAATCTATCAGTGCATTTGAAAACCAAATGTACCCACCAGCAGGATGGTATTGTAGGGAGAGAACTGAATTGGTGTTTAAACACTAGCTCTGCTGCTCACTACTCCTATGACCTTGGACTCATCCTTTCCCTTCCCTGGGACTTAGTTTCTTCATCTGTAAAATGAAGGGGTTGGACTAAACTCCTTTCTATCTTCAAAGCCTATGATGCTATAATTTATTATTTCTAAACAATGTATTTAAAACAATACTCACAATTAGCATTTTCCTCCACTAAAATCCCATGCTCCCAACACTTCATAGCATGGAGGTAATTCCAGATTCTCAAAGACTAAACCAGCAGGGTCCAGGGTCTGGCAGGTCCTACTAAGTTTGAAAGGTTCCAAGTATGGACACAATGACATATTACATATCTGTCACCCGCCTGGCTAAGTTCAGAGAGGCTCATAGGCTTAGGAAGATAGACCCAGAGCTGGAAGGGACCGCAGTGGTCATTTAGTCCGGCCTACTCAATTTATAGATGAGGAAGCAACCCCAGGAAGGTTAAAGTGACTTACCCAGGGTCACACAGGTAGCTAGAATCATCAAAACAGTCTACTAAGGCAGGGAAAGAAGGTATGCTCTATGATTCTATATCCATGAAGAGGGTACCCGCATTAATGAAAGTTCCAGCTCTTTAGAAGCACCAAAGTAAGTACTATGAGCACCCAAAGCTAAGTTAAACTTGCTGGGCATCGAAGGGGAAGGAAGCAGGTCAAACTTCTTAGGTGCCAACACTGCCAGTCCCAATGTACAATGCAATGTTTACCTAAGGTATTTAGGGGGGAGGGGAAAGAGCAGATAATTGCATCATCAATATACATGATTGCCTTTGAGTAGATACAGGGTGTCTGTCCCATAACCACATCACACACACACACACACACACAGAGCTGCTGTGTCCTGGCTTCCAGCTAATGGGCAGGAACCCAACTTACTCAAAGGGCAGGCCTGTGACAACAGTATAAGTCAGATTCAGCCATCGGCTACCTATCTGAAAATGTACACTGAGCCTCCTTCCCCTCTATGGGGACATTTTTTTTTTTAGAAAGTCCCAGCCATGACATAGTCACTGCTGCTTAAAGAATATGGGCTATATATCAGATTACATGCCATCTTGAGGAGGGAGGGGTAGAAAATCTAAAACTCAAAAGCTTTTGTAAGTGATTGTTGAAAACTAAAAATAAATAAATTAAATTAATTAATTAAAAATATTTTAAAAATTAAAAAAAGAATATGGGCTGGTCGTGTGCATAACCAGGAGAGATCCTCGATACTCCACTGGTTGTTGTTTGTCCTTCACTCTCAAAGAGGACCAATGATATCAGAAGGTGAGGTCTTAACTTGCAAGTGAAATGGATTTAAGTGAGGCAGGGCTGTGCGAAGTCATCAGCCTCACTCTCTTCTCCAGGGTCATCTGAGTCCAGTGGCAAGACAGGGTTAAGACAACTGGTGATAGCCCCCTGACTCCACTGGTATCATGATGCTGGGAGGAAGTGAAAAAAGCACCCCCCCCAGCATGTTGTGTGGACCTGCTGTGGTGAACTGATGAGAGGACATGGACAAGCCCCCCAAGATGGGCACGTGGAGATGGAAGAAACAGTCACTCTGACAAGATTGTGGGTTCATTTAAATATTTAAGCACCTGGGTCCAGCCTTATGATTATAGGGCACTTTCTATGATTTGACAGATATTTGTATCCTGCCCATAATCCAAAATCTCTCCACTCTCTCATTCCCATCTTCCTGTAAAAAAAAAATGCTCTCAACTTACCTCCATCCTAAAGAAAGAAGGAAGGAAGGAAGGAAGGAAGGAAGGAAGGAAGGAAGGAAGGAAGGAAGGAAGGAAGGAAGGAAGGAAGGAAGGAAGGAAGGAAGGAAGCTTCCTCTTCCCTCTTCTATCTTCTCTGGCTAAGTCCCATTTCTCTCCTCCTCTTTGTTAATAAGGTCTTAAGAAATTTCTCTAGACTAGAAGTTTCCAGAGGCCCCAACGCTCTAGTGGTATTGACACCATTCCACCATGCCCCACTGTCCAGGGGTTGGCACAAGTCTGGACTCTTGCCTCCTCCTGTCCCAGTGCCTCAGTCTGAGCCCACGAGGATCTCCTCATCTACCTTTAAAGGGCAGTGGAAACAAGGCTTCTCTGGCCACTGTGAAATCGTGCTTAAATAGTCTTGTGCACGAGATAAGATACAGGGTCTTTTTATTACAGGAAAACTAGGAGAAGAAAACCAATAATTTCAACCAAGTTCTTAGTTACATCTGAATCTCCACATCAGAAGTACTATTAAGCTGTCTCTATATTAGAAATAAGACAAGCTGGACTGGTCAGTAACAGCTTAATAATAACAGTCAGCAACAGTGAATTTGGACTGCTCTCAGCTTTAAGGGTTGGGAGTAGATGGCATTAACAGAAATATTTAGGGGTAGGTTGAAAGGATCTGTTTGGCCCCCACAAACCTATGAATTAATAGAGCTAACATTTGGGCTCAGTGATCATGCGGACCAAAGGAAGAAGAGGTAGGATAAGGCAGATAGGTGGCTCAGTGGATAGAGCATGGGCTTGGAGTCAGGAAGACCTGAGTTCAAATCTGGCCTCAGACACTCACCAGCTGCATGACCTTGGGCAAGTCACCTAACCTCTGTTTGCCTTAATCCACTGGAGAAGAAAATAGCAAACCATTCCAGTATCTTTGCCAAGAAAACCTCATATGGGGTCAGAGTCAGACACGACTGAACAACAACAAAATACTGAGCATAGATTGGGGGATAAGAAAATTCCTTTTGCAATTGGGGTTAGTCTCCCTGCTCCAGTCATCCATCCTAGCCTTCATCCTTGTTGTAGTGGCCCCCCATCACCACTGGCTTCACAGGCATAGACAAGAGCCCCCGATCAGAGGGTTCATCACCAAGACCTCAGAAAACAAAGCTAGCCCACTTCCAAACGACTGGCTTCCACCCATCATCTCATACCACTGCTTGTCTCTAGGGGAACACGAGTCTCACTCCTAATAAACCTTTCAGCCTTCCCAAGATTATGGGAGCAGAGTCCATCGGTCACTCACAGCAGATGCTAGGAAACCTTGCTGCAGGCTTATCAGTGCTACCAGCCTCAGAGCCCTGTGCCTGGCTCCTTACACCACGCTTCCTGCAGCAACTTCCCCCAACACTGAGTGCCAAAGCTCTTGCTTGGTGTCTGGACCAAGGATTACATAGGATAGAACCCCTTGCTTGATCAATGCAGAACCTTTGTATAAACAAGGATCCCAACAGGCCTTACAAAGTGCCTCTGAGGATGCCAGACCATCGCTGAAACTGCCAAAGTCCACCTGCCATTTAAAAAAAAAGGAAGACAAAGAACAGGGCTCCAGCAGAATCTGTCAGAGGAAGATGAAGGCCGGGGGCTTCCCAGCTGCTGACGCAGTAAGCACATCTCATCTCCCCAGCTAACCTGTATGTCATCTCCACCACCTCCATAGTCACTTGCTCCCAGTAGGTAAAGACTGGTGGACTGCCCCGAGTTCTCATGGGTTTGTGGAATTCTCGTTCACTTTGGAAGTACTATATTTATGCAGAAGAAATAAGTGCTTTTTTTTTTCTTTCTAGGAATTAAACTTGAAATACACTGGTCATCTTCAAATTCGTAGACAGTCCTTCCTTGATCAGTGGCGGAAGAGATGGCATTCTTTAGAGGCACCAGCCTGCCATCTCATGGTAAAAGTGGGTAACTGCTGAGTGGCTCTTGGGGATTAGCATAACCATGGAATCTAATGGCGCAACGTTTTCCCATTGGGTTAAGCCAATATGAGATGAGGCGAATCCAAGAGTCGTAGTTGAAGGCTTGAAGACATGGATTTCATGTTCAATGGATGCTAATGAAGAAGATCTGCTTGAATTCAAAGTGGAGAAGAGTGAATTTTTATAACGCTAGAAGACCAAGTTGAGGAGGAAGCTTGTGATGCCAAGTCTTGTATCTACACCCTTCTCTCCACTCTCACTGCCATTCCCCTAGCTCAGGCTCTAGATGCCTTTTTCCTTGACTTTTACAGTGATTTCATAAGTCTTCCTGCCTTTGGTCTGTCCCCTGCCCAATCTGTCCTTCCCACAGCTGCCAACACCATTTTCATAAGACATTTGACTGTCACTCATAATCTGCTTCCTCTCCTTCTGCCCCTGGAGGTAGTCATCAGCACCTCTGCAGCCACCATGACTTCAGCACGGTAACCTGGAAGCAGGAGTTATACATGTTTGATCCCTACGCAAAGTTGGAGAACCTGCCACACTTGGTAGAACGTCAGCAATCCTACTGGGTCTCATTGATAGACATTGCCCTCTGTTGGCAACAGCCTCCGCTTGAGCCCAGGACCCTGAACTCCTATGCATCCCAGCCATGTTCACCTGCCTCCCTAGAGGGTGACCAACCATCCCCCTTCATGTCTCAGCCCACCCACAGGCCCCTGTCACCCTATGTTACTTCTATCCTTGGACAGTAACTGTCCACCTGGGATGACAACCCCTTTGGATCCTGAAGATACTGGAGGCGCTATGCATCACCTCAGCTGTGGCACATCCCCACCACTTGCATCATCATTATCTTTGTGCTCAACCCTTGCCTATCCTCTACCTATCGCCATCACAAACCCCATCATCACTTCCTCACCATCACCAACCATCGGGCCCCCATCACTTTTATGCGCTCCATCTTCATCACCATGGCCAGCCAGCATGACCTACTGTGCCCTCCAGTCACAGACAGGATCTTAATACTCCTGTCCAAGAAATAAAGCTCTTACAAAACCTTAAATAAAAAAAGAAAAGGAAGTGGCCCAGTTCCATAGCAAGGAAGCAAAGAAGGAATAACAGACAACCTGAAGCCTACTCCATGAAAGACCTAAAGAAAGCTCTCTGGGTAGAGCCTCCATGGGAGGACATGGATAAGAATCACAAAGGATGAAAAGACGACGATGTACTGTGAGAAAGCACCCCTATCCATGAGTTCATGGATCATCAAAGTATCCAGGTATTGTTTAGGGGAGTCGCTCAGAGATTTTGGCAAATACTCTGAGTGGTTGGGGTGCATGAGTAAGCAGGAGAAATGCAAGGCAACAGAGTAAATGCTACTTAACAACAAATAAAAAGGCAACTGTCAATCATGTCTGGTCTCCCCCTTCCTACCCACAAGAATTTAAAGATACTTATAGACTAGAGAGAGGCATTGGTCACACAGGATTTGGAGTCAGGGAAGATTTATTCTCCAATCCTGCCTCAGATACACGTGGCATTTAGTCAATGTGCTTACAGGCAAAAAAATAAAAATAAAAAGTTACTGTTAACATTTTCTTATTTGTAAATTGTCAGTCATGTGATACCTGTCCATGTATGCCTTTCTTTTATTTTGTACGTCTTGTACGTTATCATTTTTTTCACCATACTTAGGTAGGCCCCTGTTGTATCGTATCCAGCTTCCGCTAACACATTCCAATAATGGATAAGATGGAGCTTTATCCAGAAGGTTGGTTTTGTGGTTTGAGATAGTCTGGCCAGGGTTCTGTTAAAACAACATATTAAGAAAATAGTATATAACCTGGTACTTGAAAGAAGCTACTCTTAAGTTACTTATGAATTAAAGACATTACCCAATTTATATTTTCCTGAGTCAACATGATTTAGGTTGACAAGTTGGACATGGTGCCCATCATAACCTTTAGGTAATGATTTGTATCTAGCCAGGTCTGAATGTGAATTGGCCTCTGAAGAATAGATTGATAGGAAAAACAGATAAGGATTCAGACCTTTTTTTTACCCTAAGGTAGTAAATACAACCACTACTACAGATCTAAACACAGAGGACTGTCCGTGGACAAAAGGTGTAAATCCATGAGTTTTTTAAATGTCACAGCTATAGCCTGAAAAGCAGATTTGCTTGCACGTTGTCTCCTCCTTAGACTGTAAGCTCCTTGAGGGCAAAGTCTATTTTTGCTTTTCCTTGTATTGCCAGTGCTTAGCACAGTGCCTATCATCTAGAAGGTGCTTAATAAATGCTTGTTATTGACTTGCCTGAGATCTACAACGAGGAAGTAAACTTCACAAATTCATTAGTTTATGTTTCAATTTATAGCTTTCTCCAAAGATGATAATTCATTTAAATAAATGTATTTACTTTGATTACAGCTTATAGTGATTATTAGCAAAAAAAGAATTAGTGTTCTCTAAGCTGCAGAGAAGGTGATAACATGCATTGGTAGGAGGACTTTTCTCACTTGGAAGTTCTCTACACCAAAAACTCACAGGATTGGTCTTGTCTTTATTCTTTAATTTCATGTTCTACCTTTTACCCAAAGGAAACAACCAAAGCTCAAGCTTTTTTGGATCAGCCCCTCTGAATAATAACAAACCTTAAACAGGACTGTGAACAGCATTCATGAATCTCCTAAGTGCTGGACATGAGCAGCAGCTAGTCCTCAGTCCAAAGGAGTGAACACAGACTCTCCCCCCTTTTTTAAAGGGGCACTCTTTTAAATGGGCCGTGCATTATTTTTTAAAACCTTGCAAGAATGAGTAAGTCTCCATTCCCTTCTCTGAGTCCCACCAATGACTGTCTTTGAGCACTCAGAGACTTCTATCTCTTGAATCTGAGTCGATTTTTTGTTGTTTAGTCAATTAGCCATGTTGGCCCTTGACCCTATTCGCAGTTAACAGATGTGTGTATGGTACTGTCAAGTGCTGTCTCATGTCAGCTTTGGCCAGTTCTGAGAGAAATGTCTGGCAGATCCACTTCACAAAGCTCCTGCTAATGGTCTGGTGGTTGGGTTCCCTTGCCCAAGCCCTTCTCCACCCCAATATTTCAATCACCTATGAAGTGTTCTGATTCCCCTCTAAGTCAAGACTTCATAACCCTTTCCTGGTGGCCCAATACTCAGAGACTGAAGTTAGAACTTTGAATGAACTGAGAAGATAGAAGAAGGCAACAGGGGAAGGCAAAGGAGAGAACACTCACTTTTTAACCCAGCTTTCAACAGGAAAAGCCCCATCAACCACTGCCACCATGCCTTAAACCCTGACCACAAAAGAGTTACAAAATGAAAGGAATGATATTCTGAAGAGCCTTGCTTACCACAGGGACAACTATGGAAAAAAGAAGACAACTTGGATCCAAATTTTCTTGAGTGCCTCTTTTTGAAAGAGAGCTTTGTGCCAATTAAGTTAGCCCCCAAAAGCCCTTCTAAAATCTAAGAAGGCAAGCAAAATTATTTCAAATGTACTACTTGATGCTTATTAGAGCCACCTTATTGGTTCTGGGTCAGGTTTCTAACACTGCAGAGCTGTATTTTTATTATATTGTTACCTTAGTGACAAAGATAGAGACTGAACCTATGATTTCAGTTTTAGCTGGCACAAGGAACTCCGTCTACCAAGCTACCAGGTCCAAATCTTCTCTTAGAGAATTGCCCATAGCTCTAAAGGGCTAAGTGACTTGGCCAGGGTCACCCAGCCAGTATGTGTCAAAAGCAGTACTTGAACTTAGGTCTCCCTGCCCCCAAGGCCAGCCCCTAAGTAGTACAACAGAGAAGAACACTGGACTTGGAGTTAGGAAGGACTCCAGGTCAAATCCAGCCTCAGATACTTAGTAGTTGTATGAACCTGGGCAAGCCATTTACCAGCCTTCAGCCTCAGTTTCCTCATCTGTAAAATGGAAATAACACTTCCCAGGGCTGTTGTGAAGATACTTATAAAGCGCTTTTCAAACCATAAAGTACTATAATAAATGCCAACAGTATAGTTAGAGAAATTTGTAATTATTCAGTCTTTGTTTTATGACATATTACGAGTCAAAGCTACGATTCAGCCTTGATGTTAAGTCCTTGGAAGGAAACACAGCCCCTCCAATTTTATTATTTTTCCTATGGGAAAGTGTCCTTTACAGAAATCTGCACTAGAAGATGGTTTGCTAGCAGGTGCTACATTGAAAGTCCTTTATAAAAAGCAACTGACGCTTCTCTTTACTGACTAGCCAACAGTTTTCTAGAAATTACATGAGTGCTCCTTCTATTCCCTAAACAAATGTCAGTTTCTCTTTTTAAGACTCTTATTAGTTAAGTTCAAAAGAAAAAGAAAATAAAACAAAAAAAATGCTTGATTAAACTCTTACTAAAATTGGGCAGAATTTCAGGAATCAGAGAGTACATTGGAAAGAAAAAAAAATTCCTAAATATAAAATATAAAATTCCTGATTTATATAAAAGTATGTACTAAATTGGCCCCACCTGACAAACTGAAACACTGGCAAAAAGAAGCCCACCTTCCTTCTCCAAATATGGGCTATGGTTCTATGACCTTTTCTTCTGGTCTTTCCAGACTGGTTTCCAACTCTCCCAGGCACAGAGGGGAATGTGTGCTGACCAATGGTATCTTGCTCTTGCAGATGGCAGGGAATGGGATGGGATGTTGTGCCAAATGGTGCAAACCGATGAAAAGAATCCCCTCCCTGCCTCCATAGCCTGGCACCTCCGCCCCACAACCTTGGCCCAAAACAAAGACGAAGCCTTTTGAGCCCTTCCACAAAACAGAATCATATGAAAGTGGTGACACTTACTTGGGGTTTGTGAGAAAATTACATAGCTCCTCCCAGTTGCCACTCATTTTCAGATTCCACGGCAACTCTGCATACGCTCTCCAAAAGCTGCTTTGTCCCTGGAAGAACTGAGTCAAGATCCGATGTAAATTTGTTTTCTTGCAATTCACGGGGTTCTGAAAGGAATATGGACTGCTTTCTCTGACGGGCGTGATTACACCTAGTTCAAAACCAGTCACAGGTTAACCACCTTCCCGTTCTTCTCAATTATGTCCAACCTATCTAAAGCCTACCACATGAAATACAGGACCTACACGTTTATTTTAGGACCAGGGAGGCCAGGAAAGCCAAGTAGATGGAACCAGACTGAAAGGCTCATATAAGTTAGTCTGGATCCGGGAAGAAGGAACCCCATTAATTATCCCTGGGGCTATCAACTGGGTAGAATATGAACATTCCCTCCATCTGCAACTATTTTTCATCTGTGTCAAGAGTTCATAACCTGGTTTGCATAAACTTTTAAAAAAATATTTTGATCAATGTACTTGAATATTATTTGTTTTCCTTTTTAATCCTAATGTATCTTATTTGATGCATTTCAAAACATGACTCTGACAAGGGCTTAATAGAATTTACCAGACAGAGAGCCAGAGGCATCCAAGACACCAAACAAAGGGGGCTAGCCCCTGATCAATGAATCTATCTGAACATCTACCAATCACATGCATAAAATTAAGTCTCTACTGAAAGCATGTGGCCTCTGGCGGCCATCAAAATCTGCCACTTCAGAAGTAACAATCTTCCATTCTCTGAGCCTCACAAAGGCCAAGTTACCATGGTGTGGCAACTTCAAAGTCAAGAGAAAGACTAAATAAAGACAAAGTTACAATATTTACATGTAGCGTTCCCTAGAAAAGACACTGATGGCTAATACCAGCTGGAAATGGTCACATAAAAACAACGGAGATGTTTCATAGGTTTTGTAGAATTTTAAAATATGAACATCCCATGAGGGGGCTGTGAACAGCAATCACTTATGAATGATACCGCAAGCCTAGGGAAACTTGTTCCAGCAGTAATTCAGATTTGTTACTAAAATATTATCCACAGCTCATACCTGTTTGAGAGAAATACGGTCCCTAGTAGCAAGTGGGCAGAAAGACCATTTAATCAGGACCCCCTCCACCCAGGTCCTTACTCGCCATTTGCACAACAAAGGTTATCTCTGAGGGGAAATAGGCTTGGACAGGATATTGAAGAAGACTGCTAATTTGGGTTTGGCTCCCAGGATGTAAACTTAAGCCATGACCTATTATATATAAGGAACGACATGAAGGGTATGAGTAGGTTCATATTTGCCAACAATGTACAACCTAAATTACAGGAATGAATCACGACTACACTCTATTTACATTCTTGGTCTAACAGCCAGGCTTAAGGGCAAATAAGGAGAGAGAAGAAAATATAGTCCCAACTTTCTAGTTCCTTCCTCCCGTGATGCTCTCAGCTCCCCAGTTCCTTCAGTTCAGTTCTGCTTCCGGGTCCATGTAGTCAAGGATGAGGACTGCCTCTAGCTCTCAAGATGACAGTGATTAGGGGTGGGAGAAAGGTAGTTCCAGCCATGCCTAGAAAAGGCAGACCTGACTAGAATCCCAACAGCAAGGCCGAGAGGTCGACACAAATGGTCACTGCCCTAGTGTTCCTATGAGGCAACTGGCATCATGGAAAGAGCCCTGGACTACGAATCCTTGTGCTCACTCTGTCACTATTTAGCTAGGTGACCTTGGACAAGCCATTGTCCTTCTCTGGGCCTCCGTTTCTTCCTCTGTAAAGTGAGACTGGACTAGACAAAGTGACCTTGGACAAGCCGTTGTCCTTCTCTGGGCCTGTTTCTTCCTCTGTAAAGTGAGACTGGACTAGACAATCTCCAAATTTTCTTCAGGCTCTTGAATTCTAAGATTTGAGGGCTCTAAAATTTTGGTTTGATCTGTGATTAATCTTTGACTGAATTTTCACTGGTTTAATCTTGGTTGGTACCAAGCAGATAGAAATCTCTCGAGAGAGTCCAACAGTCCTAACATGGCATCCTCCCTGTATTCTTCACTTCTTTATTTTTACCACGGGGCATAACTGGAAGGTCCCAACCTTTCTGGAGTGTCTCAGGTTCCTTGTTTGCCCTCTGCCCACCCCCATCCCTACCCTAGCACCTTTCTTTGATAGATAGTGACCAGTTACCATCATGAAACACATGCCTTCCCTCATATGAGGAGAATTCAAGTTCCCTTCTTATTACATGTTTCCACCATCCATACCCTCGCACATTCCACCACCTCCACCACACACACACACAAACACAAACACACACACACACACACACACACACACACACACCCCAGGCAGGAAACATCAAAGGAGGTGATGTTTAGTTTCACCCACAGGAGTAGAGGGGAAAGGAAGGTGTGGGCATTCCTGGCCTCAACCTGCAATGCAGAGGCCAAGAAGGTCACTGCAGATAATGGAGCCTCAGTTCTGCATTTCACCTTAGATTAGAAACTGAGGATGTCAAGTAAGAGAATCATCCATTTCGAAGTAGAGGAGGAGAGGTGAAAGTCTGATCTGACCAAAAATTACAGGTGTGTCCTCTTGTGGAAACATACTCTCTAAAGCCCTTTTTTCCCCAAAAAGAACATAACATGTTTAATATAAAAAGTATGTGGAACACAAATAGAGCGATTTTCTTACTGCCATATTTAATTTAATATTCAATTTTTTAAAACAAGTAATTGAATAGAAGTTCATGATTTTATATACAATTCTTTTTCTGTCTTTTGCATACCCAAGTATAGATGTTTGCTGATAACTGCTAAATTTGTAATAAAAAATAAAGTTTAAAGTTTGTTTTGGTCTTTTTTAAGCAGTACATCAGGGAAGGAAGCCACAGAATGGTTATGGCTTAGAAGCCTTCTAAGTCCTTGGGCCAGAAGTGAGGGAGCCTTTATAACCGGAAAGTTGGTCAATGGTTTTCCCCTTCCCAGACTTGAACTATTGTTTATTTCAGCCAACTCTTAACAAGATTATTCTGATCAAGACCGTGTCAAAAGCCAACCCCACCATAATGTCACTGAAACCTGGCTTCAGAGAGAGCTGACCCCAACCTAGGTCAAATCTCTTACACCTTCTGACTTGTGAGGAAGAAAGAGGTGCTAGGTTGAACTGGAGATGAGCTTGGGCCAGCAGGGGTGAGGAACCTCTGCCTGGGCCACGCCTGCCATCCCATTCAGAAGGCATCCATTTCCTTCTCTCCGTCCCACCACTAAAGTAAGAAATACTGACAATCTAGGGTGGGAAAAGGTGAAATTAGCAAACACAAAGAAATCACTACTATCATCATAAACGTTGTACTATCTCAGGTCTCGGGAAAGGCCTAATTTAAACTTTTAGAGTCTGAACTGGCTACCCCAGAAAGATGAAGCATCTAAAGATGAAGAACTAAGTGTCCCCTGAGTGGCTGTTTCTATTAACACTGTGTTTTCCTAAACATAATTAACAAGCTCGCTAAAACCCCATACTGTCCACAAAGCTGCTGCCGATGCCAGCGAGGGAAAGACGTTTCAATCTATCATCATCACTTAGAATGTCTGGTTATGATAGACAAACTACAGTTAAAAGCTTTTTCCTCCTCTATTCTCTTGCCCTCCCTCGACCCACCAGCCTTTTCATAGATTCGCGCCTTACGAAGCAGCTTGTGCTCCACTGCTTGTCGCAGAGACTGATGACAGAAGTGCAGTCGGCCATTCGGCTTCTCTTGGACCCACTGCTCAGTAGCCAAGCGAAAGGCCGCCCAATGGGAGGTGGTGACTTTGTAATGATTCTTATAGCCCAGTATGTCCAAAAGCTGGAGTAGCTCGACATCAGTCAGTCCACAATGAGAGACACTCAACAGACACAACGTGTCCACCACCCAGCCATTCAGTCCTGTAGTAAAAGGATACCAAGACTTTTAGAAATGTATTCCCACCATTTGAAAAACAAATACACCCAGAATATGATTAGAAACTAGTGGCACAGGGCAGCTAGATGGTGCAGTGGATAAAGCACCGGTCCTGGAGTCAGGAGGACCTGAGTTCAAATTCGACCTCAGACACATAACACTCACTAGCTGTGTGACCCTGGGCAAGTCACTTAGCCCCATTGCCTAGCAAAAGAAAGAAAGAGAGAGAGAGAAGAAAGAAAGAAAGAAAGAAAGAAAGAAAGAAAGAAAGAAAGAAAGAAAGAAAGAAAGAAAGAAAGAAAGAAAGAAAGAAAGAAAGAAAGAAAGAAAGAGAAAGAAAGAAAGAGAGAGAAAAAAAGAAATTAGTGGCACTTGCCAATATGGATCTTGGTGCATGCTTTTTTTAACAAAAGGTGAACACCTACATAACATTTTTACATAAAATTTTCCAATCCAAGCCTCACATTTATATGAGTGGATGATTTGGAGGGTAGGACCGCCATCACCCAAGCCACCAGAAGCAGGAATTGTATTATATTAAGCTAGCCCTTCTTTCTCTTTTCACCCGTACCTTCTCCAACCCTCCATCCTGCACCTATGGTGGGTGCACGGAGTTGTTCTCCACTTCTCTTCTCTGTTAGACTGTGCACTCCTTGAGGCCAGGAGCTATCTTCTGCCTCCCAGCGCTCAGCACAAATGGCAGGCGAGCACTGGCTGACTAACCTCACCTGGGATTCTCATTGGCTTTGTGATCAACCAAACCTAAGAGTCCACTAAGGACGTGGCGAGAAACGAGGACACAGCTATGTGAAGAGAGCTCCCTAGCTGCTACAGCTCAGAGGAGAAATAATTAGAAGTATTAGAACTCCCTGCCCTTGCAAGCCACGATCATTTCATTCACTGTACTAGCGGCCCTGCATGGTGAAGGCACATGGAATACTCGGTGCTGGAGCAACTCCACAAAGCGCCATCCCCACAGAGCCTTCTGGTTCTGCTTCGTGTTTGGAGTCCACTAGGGGGCGTCCAGTTACACAAATTGTCTGCCAACGTGTCCGTGCGAATGACCGGCCACCCCTACCCCTGTAAACCAAAGGGTTCTAAATGTGAGAGCACTCAAGAATCTGGCTGGAAATAAAAATCATTTGCTCTGGATGTCCAGTTGCTATTGCTTTGAATCAAGGGCCAGCGCCAATGTCTTCACACTCAGCCCCCCAACATCTTCACAACACTATGACTCCCATTCCACTCCCCCACCTCCAGAACTGTCTCTGATCCACCCCCGAATGCAGCTGCTCCCCGAGTTCAGGCCTGGGTTTTCTCTCTCTGCACTCTCTCCCTGGGTAGTCCAATCTACTTCCATAGCCCTGGTTTATTATCACTTCTACACAGATGGCTCCCCCAAAGCTCCATCTCGAGCCCTGGCCTCTCCCCTAAGCTCCAGACCTGCGACCAGGGAAGAATGGAGTTCAAATCTTGCCTCAGACACTTACTAGCTGTGAGGTCCTGGGCAAATCACTTAGCCTCAGTTTCCTCACCCATACAATGAGAGGGCTGCACTAAGTGACTTCCAAGGTCCATCTCAGCTCTAACGTAAGGGATCCTGCACCCTCCAACCACTGACAGACACCACCTCCACACCCCGGGCACCTCAAGTCTGAGCTGTTAATAACTAATCTTCTCCTTCCAACCACGCTAAAACGCCTCCTTCCAACTTCATCATCTCTTGGTGCCTCAGCTTTGAAACCCTGGCCTTATCGCGGACATTGTTTCATCCACGGTGATTCTGCCTCCACGCCTGCCTCCACAAAGCCTCCTTTGGTCCCCCTGCTACGGCCTCAAGGAGAAGGCCCAATCCCTGCCCAGCGCAGCCTCCTAGAGCAGTCCTGCCTCCTGTCCTTCCTGCACTCTATCCCTCACACACTGCCTGATGCACCTTACGGATCTAGTCATGGAACTCTCCTCCTGAAAATCCTCCTGAGACTCCTCAGTCACTACAGAGTCCAAGCTCCTCTGCCCGGTGTTGAGGGTCCTCCTAGCCTGGCATCAGCCTGGCCTCAAGATCTTATTTTCTGCTGCTCTTCATTCCAGCCAGCCTGGCTCACTTGTCATCCCCCAAACATTTCTTGTGCTTTCCCAGGTTCCTTACTGCTCGTTGGGCCTGAAATACTTCCTGACCTTTCTTCTCTTCCCCCATTCACAGCCTTCTTTAAAGGCCAAATCAAATAGCATCTCTTCCAGAAAGTTCTCCCTGACGATGGCACAGCAGAAAGAGCTCCAGCTCTGGAGTCGGAGGGCTTGGGTTCAAATCCCACTTTTAATGACTACTGTCTGAGTTATCTTGGACAAGTCACTTCACTCCCCTATGACTCAATTTCCTTATTTGTAAAATGAGGAGGTTGGATGATGACCCTTGAGTTCCCTCCCTGCTCCCTCCATTCCCACCACCTCCAAGAACAGCCATCCTCTCCTTGGTCCTTCCGTAACATTGATAACCCTTTGCTTCCCCTGTCTTAGGTGCTCATCAGGTGTCAGGCTTGCTTTGGTTTTTTGTAGGGCCCGTTTCCCTAACCCAACAGCCTCCAGGAGGGTAGGGACTATACGACCTATTTAAACTTTGCATGGCAAACCTCCAACTACAGTTCTCTGTGCACGGCAAGCATTTAATAAATGGGTTTGCCAGATTGAATTAAACAGTTTCATTCCCTTCTATCTATCTCAGGCTACTACAGGTCTGAGACTCTGGAATGTCTCTAACTCCATCTTTGTAAGCATACCACTACTTTGGGACACAAAAGATACAAACTCTCACTAGAAAATGTACTTACGGCTTTTAGAGTCTGGTAGAGGTGATACCACCTTTTTGGGTTTGATAATCTAACTGCAGTCCTCAACCCATCGCTTGAGAATTAATTCCCATAGTTCCTGGATAGAAAGCACTTCCAGGTATTTCTGAATACATTCCGACTCGTTTTGGTACAGTCGACATTCTTGAAACTCATTGGCCAAGATTGCAACTTTCAAAGGACTTAGGCATGGTTTTTTTCTTGAGCTATGTTTCTCTTGATAGGAAAAAATGTTTTTGTGAGGCACCGTGAGATACTGTTCAAAAATTCTGATAACTGTGTTTTCATCGGAGGCAATGGTCAGCTCCACTGTTTTTACATCTGATCGGGCACACAGTGATTTGTAAGAGAGACTGGAGGATACCATACTCATGATGAACTTACAATTAGGGGAAATGGAGGGGGGCAGCCAGGAAAAGTCTTTTGCCTAATAGAGAGAGTCAAAGAAATGTTTACATTTCAAGATATTTTCAAAACAATCCTGCCCATGGTTTCCAGTTAGAATAACTTGATATAGTCTCATAGCAAGCAAAGATGGCGAGAAAAATGGTTCAAATGCAGTATCACTCTATCTGACTTCACACACTGTTCTAGCATCTTAGTCGAGAATTTATATGGATATGTAAATGTGTGTGTATGTATTTATGCATATATATATACACATATATATGCATATATGTGTGTGGATAGATAGATAAAGTATGTGGAATAGAAAAATCCAAATCCTAGAACTTTTTTTAGCCATGATATTACACCATGCAATAACTGTCAACAGTATCACATCTGAACATGAAGGATGAAATTTTAAATATAGAGTAGAAATTATCAAGTAAAAATAGTGATAAATATAATTTTTTTAAAATTGTACCTTCTGTCCTGAAATTCCATAAACACCAATCAATTCTTCAATTCCATCTAGTACTAATATACATGGCCTTAAACTGATGGAGGCTAAGAATATGTCTACGAGAAGTGAAAAAACCCATACTTTGGAGTCTTCGTTAATGAGATCAGTTTCAATCTGAGTACCTAGGGGCACAGAAATTAGGTAAAAAATATGTTCCTTTTCACAGGGTTCAAAAGTATGTCAAAACAAACAAATATACATATATTACCACACATATAGTTAAAATATATTAAGAGGTATAATGACTTATGACCTAGAAAGGTCTTTTTCCCCCATGCTGCTGAAAATGAACAATTTCCAATCTCAAAAGTCTCCATCTCTATAAATGGAGATTCACCACCAGGTGTCTGTAAGGCAGGCTGAAAACCTTAGATGAAAGAGGCTACAGAATACAAAAATCCACCTCTCTCTTATTCCTAACTCACATTTACATGGCCCTTAACATTTTTAACACAAGTTGTTCACAACAACCCTTTGAGATAGGTAGTGAAAGTAATAATCCTCACTTTAGAGGCCGGAAGACTGAGTCTTTGATAAGCTAAGGGACTGGCCCATGCAGTGCCTAAGATGGTTTTAATTAAGTTAATTAAAAAGCTAAGTTAAAAGAGTGACAAGTCATACCACATGACTTCTAAAACCCCTCAGCTCTGAGATGGAATGGTAGTGAGTTCCCCGTCACTGGTCTTCAAACAGAGGCCGGATGTGATTCCCACCATAGTCTCATTTCTCAGGGATGCCGTAAAGGGGAATTCTTCTTGCATATGGATTGGACTAGATAACCTTGGAGGTCCTTTATTTAACATTCTCTAATTCTGTAATGAGACATAGCTGCCTAGGTGTCAAGGCTAGCTTTGAGCACATCCACCAAACGAGACTCTTCAACCACTCTCTGGGGTTCTCCTACTTAACTCTAGATTAGAAAGATTCCACTGATCATGACACTATTTTATTGAACCCTGTTGTCAAATCCTGGGTTTCCACACTGCAAAAATTCTTTGGGTACTAGGAATGGCCAGGCAAAGTGGAATCATGGGGGAACCCAAAGCACATGATGTGTGTAACAAAACAAGCAACCACAATGGGATGACCAGGCAACGAAATCATCAAAAATTCTAGCACTGTTCATTCTGCATACAGATTTCAGATTACTTCTCTTCCCACAAAAGCAAATCTATTCTATAGCAGCTAAGAGAGACAAATAAAGTTACCAACAGAAATCTTGGGAATCACAAATTTTAGGTACCTGTCACACATTAAGTCACTAAATGTTATGCAAGCAGAAGTGTCTTTCAAGAGAAAAGTGCAAAGAAGGAAGAGAGTCAGAATAAATACTGCTCTAAATTTCTGGAAACCTTAAATATGATGCTATGTTCCAGTAGGTATACAAACTGACCTCACCAAACTGCTACGACCATTTAAAAGTAATGATATTCTGCTGTCCAGAAGAACCAGGAAGTATTAAAAGAGGGAGAATGTTGAAAGATTAGTAGTAACAAGGTGAGGTTTTGCTTCTGGTGGGTCTTCTATGGGAAAGAAATATAGCATTAGAGATGTTTTTTAATGCATGATTATTACTTCAACTCCTAGGATAAAGAATTTTAGAGTGAGGGGGCATCTTCCATTGATACTTCCATGGAGCTGTAATCTGATCGATGTGGGTGCTCTTCCTGGTGGTGCAAGTCATAACTGATCTCTACTTCATTCTGCGAGGTTCTTGTCCCTAAGTCTTCCACCATGATGGGGGCCTTCCACTAGATCTTTTGAAATGGTGTGGTCCTCAAAGACATACCCAGGATGGCCCTCAGTTCTACCTTGCTCTCAAACCCACCTTCTTTTCTCTGATTGGAGTCTGCACTGCTCCTCTTGTATAATTCTCCACTGGTAATATGTGGCAGCATTTTCATGTTCAATATGAAATGCTCAGCAGCCTTTTCATTGAGTTCACAATGAAACTAATTCTTCCAACTCTCTTATTTACCTCCTTAAGAAGTGCCATCCTTCAAGGTATTTCAACTCCATCTTGTAAATTAATTTGCTGTGAGGTTGTCAATTTTAATATGGCTCATGTCATCTTCCAGGAATCATATGACAACTCATCCATCATTAGGCAAAGATGCCAACCCATAATCATTTATTAAGTGCCTACCATGTGCCAGGCACTGTGCTATATGATGGGGATACAGAAAAAGGCAAAAGACAGTCCTTGCCCTCTCACCATCTAACGGGGGAGAAAACATGCAGACAAATACATACAGACAAGCTGTATGCAGGAAAAATAAGAAATAATTAACAGAGAGAAGGTATTAGAATTAAGAAGGGTTATTAAAGTCTTCCAGTAGAAGATGTGATTCTAGTTGGAACTTGAAAAAGCCAGGGAAGCCAGGAAGTGGTGATAAGGAGGGAGGTCATTCAAGGCATGGGGAACAGCCAGAGAAAAACGCCCATAGCAAAGAGATGAAGTGTCTTGTTTTGGGAACAACAAGGAGGCCAGTGTCCCTACATGGAAGAACATGTTGTAGAGAACAAGGTGTAAGAAGACTAGAAAGGTGGTGGCAGAGGAGATTAGAAAGCTGGCTATGAAGGTCTCTAAATGCTGACTAGAGGGTTTTTGTTTGATCCTGGAGGCAGTAGGGAGCCACTAGAATTTACTGAGTAGGGGATGACATGATGAGACCCGTGCTTTAGAAAGATCACTTCAGCGGCTGAATATCGCATGAACTGGAATGGGAGAGACGAGGCAGGCAGACCCACCAAAAGCTATTGCAATAGTCCAGGCTTCAGGTGATAAGGGTCTCCACCAAGGCGGGGGCGGTGTCAGAGAAGAGAAGGGGGAATATTTGAGAGATACAGCAAAGGTGAAATCACAGGCCTTAGCAACAGTCTGGATGGGGTGGGGGGCGCAGTGAAAGACAGTGAGGAGTGCAGGATGACTCCTAGGTTGTGAGACTGAAGGATTGGGACCATGGTGTCCTCTACAGTAATAGGAAAGCTAGGAAGGAGGAAGATAACAAATTCTGTTTCAGACATGTTAAGTTTGCAGACATCCAGTTCAAGATGTCTGAAAGGCAGCTGAAGATGTGAGACTGGAGGTCAGCAGAAAGGTGACAGCAAGAAAGTTAGATTTGAGAATCATCAGCGTAGGGCTGTAATTTAATCCATGGGAGCTGAAGTAGCACAGAGGGAGAAGAAGAGAGGGTCCAGAAGAGAGCTCCGAGGGACATCGATGGCTACAGGTGTGGTGTGGAAGAGGATCTAACAGAGACAGAGAAGGAGCAGAACCAGGAGAGAGACGGGTGTCTTGAGAACCTAGCGAGAAGAGAGTATTAAGGAGGAGAGAGCGATCAACCGTGCTAACGGCTTTTCCAATGAGGATTGAGAAAAGACCACCGGATTTAGCAAGAAATCATTAATAATTTTGGAGAGAGGGCAGCTAGGTGGCACAGTGGACAGAGCACTGGCCCTGGAGTCAGGAGGACCTGAGTTCAAATCTGACCTCAGACACATAACACTCACTAGCTACGTAACTCTGGGCAAGTCACGTAACCCCAATTGCCTCACCAAAAATAATAATAATAATAATAATAATAATAATAATAATAATAATTTTGGAGAGAGCAGTTTTGGTGGAATGATAGGGTCAGATGCCAGACTGTAAGGGGTTGAGAAAAGAGTTAGAGGAGAGAAGGTGGAGGCACCTCGTGTAGATGGCCTTTTTGAAGAGTTTAGCTACAAAAGGCATGATAGATAAAGGACTAGGACCAGCAGAGATGGAGAGCTTTTTCAACATGGAAGAAACACGGGCATGTTTGTAGGCAGTAGGGAAACGAGCCAGTAGACAGAGAGAGATGTTACACTTCAAATATTACCAATTCAGCTCATACTTAAATCTGAAATCTAAATCTAAATCAATCTAAAAACTGGTGACTCCTGGCACTCTCTGGCCCCATTCCACCACTCCGTCACCATCACTGAAGAAATGCAAGGGCTCGGGCACTCAGGACAACAAGGCTATTCTGTGTGCTTTACAGATTGGCGCGGCCAGATGTTTTATCACCTAATAGTGATGAGCCTCTCTGCACTTGCTGCTCCTTGGGTAACAGGCTAAACTGTATCTGAAGTCTTGCCAGCTTGCAAGAATTTGTCAGAACTTGGAAGACCTTGGGCACAGCTTTTAAAACTTAGGGAAACCTCCCTGGCACGCTAAGGCATCAGGGTAGGACTCTGTGGAGGCTTTTCTTTTTTAAAGTCTTTTAAAAAAAATACTAAAGGCTTTGAAGAGGCCCCTAAACAACTCTCCGGACAAAGTCAGAAGGAGTCAGCTATAAGCAAGTGACCTGGCGTCTCAGTGGAGATCATCACTTCACGATGCCAAAACACACAGTCATCCCAGGAAACATCGGTCAAACCAGTTCTATGGCATCAAATGCCCGACTGGATGAAATGGTTCACCTTTTAATTGGCTGTTCTGGTCTCGGATCTGACACAATTAGTAGAAGAAAGAGAACTGAACTTAGACTCAGGAGACCTGGGTTTGACTCTTATCTCTGACTTGGTACCTGTGTAACCCCAGACTCTTCACCACTCTGTGCCTCAACTTCCTCATCTGTAAAATGGGAATAACTGTAAAACTTGTCTTACTCTTGGAAAGAAAGTGTTTTGTAAACGAAGTACAAATTATTGCTACAAATGTCTTAGAAGCTTAGAAAGAAGAAAAGTACTCCTCTCTAATGACACTTTTTTAGAACATACCAGCACCCACACTGTTTCTGTTGGTAACTATATACTGTGTTAATTGCCAGACCACTTCCTCTCTGGTCAATAATACACTAAGCTGGTTCAGGGAAACATGCTCCATCCTGTGGCAAGGAAATCCACCGAGAAGAGGTAAAAGTAGTCAGGGCAAGTACCACTCTTGGTTTTGCTTATCTGGTAAGAGGGTGGGCTCCCTCAAAGGGGAAGGTGAAAGGGGCCAGCAACCAAAGGCTGCTCAGTTCTTACTAAGGAACTGGGGCTGGGAAAGAGGCCCACGGGCAGAAGGGGAGAGGCAGCTGGAAAGGCAGTGCCACATCCCAGTGCCAGCTCTGGCCCTTTGTCACCCATGCCTAGGAGGGTCATCTGCCACCTCCAGATCTCAGCTGTCTCCTTTCTAAGGTGAGGGGAGCTGGGGGAGGGGGGTTCGGACTAAATAAGCTCTCATGCTCCCATGCAGGAAGGAGATCCTTAACTTTCCTGGCTGAGGGATCCTCAGGACCAGGTGCTGCTCAGGCTGCACCAGCCGGGTGCATGGAACTAAAACATTCTCTGCACCCAACATGTCCATTCTCCAAGCCGATGAATTTGCACCCCGAGACCTTCCAGGCACCAGGCTCTACCTTTCCAAGAAGGGCCATTCTCCAGGACTGGCTGATTCTATGGCTCAGATTTTGTCCCTGTGACAGCACAGCGCTTACTCAGACAAACCCAACCCCCTGCGTCCCTTTGCCCCTTGCCTTCCTCTTCCTGGCCTGGCTGCAAACTTTGCCCCACCGCAGTGCCTACACCCTGCAATCCGGGGAAATGGAGGAGAGTGCTCTGTTCCCCCTGCAGGAGGCACACTTCCCTCCTTCTCTGACCCCTACAGACCCCACCTCTAAAGCACTGATTTCCATTGATGGCAGAGGGATGGCTCCTGGTGCCCAAAGGAAATGTTTTTTTCACTCAAAGATAAAGCTACTTAACTGGTTAAGGTCTAGAACAGCATTTGGCACCATAGTAGGAACTTCATAAACAGTAATTATTTGGGAATTTGTTTTGCATATTTGTTAGAAAGGTTTCCTTCTTTTTTTTCCAATTAAGGCAAGTAGAAGGAAGAAAAAACAGGTTTTTTTGGTTCCATTTTGAGAATTAAAACACTTAAACAAAACAGTAGTTGAATGAATGAAGATACTAGTGGATTCGCCTCTGTTAATCCTTCTGTACTCAGCCTAATTTGTGCAATTGATCACCTGCTTTTCTCATGAGGGAAAATCTTAGCACATGAAAGGGTACTTTTGAAAAAGGTGACAATTAACCTTTGGAACAACAGAATGTTACAATTCAACACTTCTCCAGGCTCAACCAATCCTGTTTTGGCATGTTTGGGAAAGAAAGATCACTTTTGTAAATAATTAATCCCATCTGAGGAGGCCTGGTGGCTTAATTGATAAAGCTCTGGACTCGGGGTAAGGAAGAACAGAGCATAAATTCCACCTCCAACACTTCCCAGCTGTATGACACTGGGCAAGTCATTTAACCTCTCTGTGCCTCAGTTTCCTCATCTGTACATTAGGATAGCAACAGTAGCTAGTTCACAGGGCTGTTGTGAGGATCAAAGGAATTGATATTTGGAAAGCACTTTGCAAAACTTCAAGCACTATGTAAATATCAGCTATTTTTATTATTACTATTATCTGCCCAGGTTGATCCTGGTGTCCTTTTCCACATGCCCCAGGGACAAATCATTGATATAAAATTCACATACACAGACCCACCCAACTCACCCCTACTTAGTTAAAAACTTCTAACACCATCTTACTCCATCCCCACTAACACAGATACAAATGGCACATGCCCATCACTAGATACATACCTATTTAATAGTGTATGACTAAGATTATAAATTCTTTGAGAGCAAAGACTATTCATTCCTGGATCCCCCACAAGATTTACCACAGTGCCAAGCACACACACACATACACACACACCCCCACAAATCTTTGCTAAAGTTAAGTAAGTAGGAGAATACACAGGTTAGGAAAAGATTAGCTTGGTGAGTAAAGAAGTGAATAAGGCAGACAGCTGGGATGAAGAGGGAATTAAAGAAGAGGAGACATAGGTGGAAGAGACACCAGACACTGACATCAGAATACCACCCAATTCGCTTTTGTGAAGCAATTTCCAAAAATCTATAATTACCAAATTGCTTGTACTGTAATTCAGTGATGAAGTAATGCATCACGGACATGATGTCACTACGGTCACAGCTGCTTCCTACATAATAAGGGATTAGTAACGTGTTGGGATTTCTCTCTCTGAAAGAATTCACCCAGCTTGCGATCAGTGTTGACTTCCCACAGCCACGTTCTCCAGACAGAAGCAAAATTGACTTGGTTGGTACAATAGGCCTGATTCTGAAAAAAAAAAAAAAGCAAGTAAATCATAAATGCATCTGTTCAAAAAGATTTGTCCCCCTAAAATATATATATATATGTATATTTGTATGTATATATGCTGGACTTAAGAGTCAAGAAGACCTCAGTTCAAATCCAACCTGAGATACTTACTAAGTGTGTGGCCCCTGACAAGTTGATTAATCCCTCTCATCCCTGGTTTTCCTCCACAGTAAAAAGGGGATAATGACAGCGCCAAGATCACAGGGTTGTTGTGAAGATTAAATGAAATAATACATGCAAAGCACTATATAAGGGCTAGCTATTATTAGTAACTACCGTTAAGTGTTCAGGAGCAGGGGCCTCATCCATTTATCCTCCACAGCTCCCAGCTTCCTCCTCTAAAGCATGGTTCTGATGCTCCCCCCACCGCAAGGTAGTGCAGTAATGGCTCTTGCATCCCCAAAAGTCATGGGGTCAGGGCACAAGCCCTAGCTGGCTCTACTAAATCTAGAATGGTTTTAAGTACAGGTTTATTTAACAGACCTGTGCTCTGTTTACCGGCCTGGCTAAGCCTGGAAAGACTTATTTCTTGAAGGTTGGCTTCTGGGTGAGGAATTTTTTGACCAAAGCTACTCTTTCTCTTGGGGGGGAGGGGAAATGGAGGCAATCGGGGTTAAGAGATTTGCCCGAGGTCACACAGCTAGTAAGTATCTGAGACTGGACTGGAACTCAGGTCCTCCTGACTCTAGGGCCAATGCTTAAGCCACTGGGCCCATCTAGCCATCCCTGACCAAAGCTACTCAAAAAGAACAGTAGTAGTCAAACTGATATCTCCCTGGGGCCAGACTTTGCAAGTACTAAACTGTTCTCATAGGTACAGTGTGACCACGTACCAAGGGTCAAAAATAGGACCAAGTGAGTAAAAATCCAGTAGTGGGCGTCTATCAAATGAGGGTGTTAGACTAGCTGGCTTCGGAGACCCCTTCCAGCCCTACATCTGTGATTCCATCATCCCCAGTCACCTCCCCAGGCCTCGTCTTCTTCTTCATCTGTTTCTTCATCTGTAAAATGAGAGGGGAGGGGTGGGCTAGAAGGCCTCTGAGGTCCCTTGTGGTTCCAAATCTAACGCCTCGTGATCCCAAACAAATTTGGCTTCAAACTGTATGGAGCACAGGACTCCAATGAATGCTCTGTAGGCGTGAGATCTTTCAGCTCCTTCTCCCTCCTTTTTACCTCTAATCCTACACGCTGCCCTGCATCCCAGCTTGGAAAACAGCAGCCAAAAGTGGTGGTCCCTGGGTTGGGTGGTTACAATGAAGAGTGCGTGTGGAGAAGGGCAGACAGCAGGGACAGCATCATGGAAGTCCTTCCTTCTCTTAGGTGGCTTTTATATCACCTCTTGGACCAGCTGGTTGCATCGCTGGTTCACTCTGCTGATGAGGTTGGTACCACAGAATCAACGCAGGTCAGAAGGCCGAGCGTAGGGATCCAGATAACCAGTTGTCAGGGATGCTCAAGGAAGGATTCCTGTGTCCTCTGACATCAATTCAATTCAATTAGAAGATTCTTTGGAGGTTATTAAGCATACAGTCCTGTCATCAGCAAGCAGGGACAATCTTGCTTCTTCTTTGGTGAGGTTTATACCTCTAATTACGCTCTTTTTTCAATAAGCATTGATTAAGAGCCAACCACGTACAAAAGCAGTGTGCAGGTGTTAGAGATACAAACACAAATCATAAAACAATCCCTACCCTCAAGGAGCTTACAATCTGTTAGATTCTTCCCACTCAGAAGCCAGTTATTGCACTTTCTATAATAGGCTGAGACCTGGACACGCACAATCAACAGTCATGCATAAGACACAGCCCTGTGCTTTACACATTTTTACTTTATTTGTTTTGGACCCAACCAGTGAGAACTGACATAGAGAATGCCAAGGGAGAAAACTCCCTCTACCAATACAGAGAAGCATCTTGCTTTATCATTTATACCTGGGACAGTATGACCCTGGGCAAGTCACTTAGCCCTGATTGCCTCACCAAAAAAAAAAAAATACCTGAGACATTGGAAGGTTAAGCTTCTTGTACACAGGGATCCCAAAAACACCTACCTTCCAGAGTTGTTGTGAGGATAAAATGAGATAACATCTATAAAGTGCTTGGCATGATGCCTGGCACACAGTAGGAGCTCAAGAAATGTTTGTTCCAGGGCAGCTAGATGGCGCAGTGATAGATCGAGCAATGGCCTGGAGTCAGGAGGACCTGAGTTCAAATCCAGCCTCAGACACATAACACTCACTAGTTGCGTGACTCTGGGCAAGTCATTTAACCCCAACTGCCACACACACACACACACACACACACACACACACACACACACACACACACAGAGAAATGCTTGTTCCCTCACCTTCCTCCCTCCCACCCCCAGTATGTATTAAAGGCAGAATTTGGCGGGGGGGAGAGGGGAGGTCTTCTTGCCTCTAAGAATTCACAAATAGCCAGCATCCCAAAAGTTTAACCTTAAACAGAATTCCAAAAGTTTTATTAAGATTTAAGATTGCACTAAGACTTTGAGGACACCCTATATCTGCTGATTAATTTCTGACTGCTCCAGACCTAGAAACTAGACAAATCACTCTTTCTCCATAAATATAAATCTAGAACCACAGTTTTCACTACCTTAAATGCAGATTATAGGATCTGATATTATATCATACTTAGAACAAAAACTAATATAGCCATAAAATTAAAGAAGAGTTTTCATCTTCTTCTCCCTAAAATAACTTAAAATATCAATAGAAAATGTCAATAGAAAAATCATCAAGCCATCTGGGGTCTCTTCCTTTAAGCTTACAAATGAATTGTGTTTCTTTAGTGAAGTGGGGATGAAGCTAAAGCTTTTGGGCTCCAGAAGAATGCTCCTTTTCTTCTGACCAAAACAACTGACATTTCACCTGGCCAGATACTGTTTCAAAATTACAAAGCAAACAATTAAGCCATGGGCATTTAGATTAAAAGTATTCTAGGAAAAATGTATCATGGCAGGGCCTGTTTGACTAATCCACTTCAGATAATGGTGTTAGGTGTGCAGTAGAAATTCAGTGAGTGGGTTATTGACTAAGTTAAAGAAAATTATGTAAACTTTTCAACACTGTTAATATTGCCTTAAAAAAAAGTGTGGGTTTTCAAATACATGAATTAGGATATCTGAGGAAAGATTATCTTAAACATATGTTATACTGCTATGCCATGCTCATGGAAAGAAGGGTAATTGTGTCCCAATTAGAGCTAATATTAAAGCCACATTATTCAAATTTGCACTGGACATTTCCAATGAGCTGGAATCAGTGACCACATTTTACATAATTATAACTTCGAATAGTTCTAATTTCAATATATGTGACCAATTCACTGGGTTCCTTAGTCACACTAATGAGGGGACCTAGCTGTGTGTCTCATAAAGGTACCCCAACAAGTGATTGACCACTTGGGAATGTTCCAAGCTGGAGACAAGAGATGGGATATCATCCCCACCAAAGAAGGGTCTATTTGAAATTTACATGGGCTTCACAGAATAATTGAGGGCCAAAGCAGGGGCAGGGCACTTCTCTGTCTACAAGAAGGGATACTTCTATGAAAAGTCCCCATTTTGTATGATCACACAACAGTCTCGGATCACGTGGGCCTCAGTTTCCTCATTTACAAAATGAGGAAATTAGACTAGATGACCTCTAAGGGCCTTTCCAACTCTAAGTCTGTGACCCTACTCTATCTTTACTAGTGAGAATAATTAAGGAACACTTTCTGTCTTCTGGTTCTAGAACCAAGATCACTAGGCCTCTAAGCTATGAGGATGGAGAGCGGGTACGTCAGAGATAGAAATTGAGTGGATTGCAGTGGCTTAAAACTGGATAGCTGTGTTAAATGAGAAATAATGATTTACTTCCATGTAGTATACAAAGCCTTAAAACAGATGAGGCCAAAAAGATGAAACAGCTACACAATCTAGTCAAATGAAATAGCAAACTGAGAGCATAATTAGAGAGGGAGATTTCCAAGGCCACTGGGCCATGGGCACAGCCATGGTAATTATGTAGCCTCCTCATGATAAGAGCACAGACCCGGAGCTAGAAAGGACCCCAGACATGATCTGATGGTGCAGCGGCTGCATTTTATACACAGTGTGTTTTATACACTGCATGAGTTCCCAAACAAAGGAACGGGGACCCCATGAAGGGGAGGACTGAACCAAGACAAGTAAACATTAAAGTGCCATTCAGGACGGAACAGAAAGAATGAGACCCCCGAATCATTCTTTCTCTGAAAGAATGTATAAAAGGCAGAAGGCTTTAGAACCTACAAGAGCTGATTTGGGCTACAAGCCTCCGAGGCACCCCAAATGGAGCACAAGTTATGCGCCAGGTTCCAGCCCACGGCGAGTGGGACATCACAGAATTCTCCTCGGGTCATCAGCAGGGACAATGCATCTCTCTCTCTCTCTCTTCTCCCCAAGGCTTCATCCCCTAAGAAACAGATGAAATGTCCCATGGATCCTGGCCTGCAAAGACAAGTAGGTTCTCAAAACCCTCTGCACCATCCCTGGTGCGTCTCGAACAGCCAAGAGTACTAATGTTTGCTGCTGGGCATGACCCGGCAAAGCTTCTTTCACTGGGGGCTCTGCAACAGGACTCAGGATCACAGACCGGGAGAATTTAAATGACACATACAAGATCTCACAGCTAGGAAGCCTTCAAGCTGAAACTGTAACCTGGGTCCACTGACGGGGTCTAGCACAAAGCAAAGTAAGCCCCTTCATTTTCAATCTGAAACTAATTTAAGTCGTCCTGATTTTGCTTAAACTGGGATATAGATTATGTCAAAGGCAACTACACACACCCTGTTTATTGGCAAATGAAAATTAGCATCTTGCCAAAACTCACCGTATAGTTGGTCTTTCTTTTACAATTTTGTTATCCAGTACCAAATAATTGCTTTGTCAAATTTATGACAAACTATAGAACTTGTGTCATTTTTTAAAATCCTAGAATTTTTCTTTTAAACTTTCTACGTTCTTATGAGGAATCAAATGTAGACTAATAGGCTAAAGAGCGTTGTTCCAAGAGAGAGAGGAGAGGATGGTGATCTTTCTGTTTAATATATTATTTATTTAAAAATTCTTTTTTTAATCAGTTATTTGTTGTTTATTCAGTATTTGGGTTAGCATGACATTTGAGGAATTGGTTGTATCATTGTACATATATAGATCTTTTTATGTAATATGGAAATTTATGACTATTGATATATATCTATGTGTATATATGTATATATATATGTGTGTGTGTGTGTGTGTGTGTGTGTACCCCCCCATACACATATACACAAAATCAGGTCCTCTGGAAAGGTGATACATGGGGCCATGCTGTAGAGCCCTAATGGAGGGGGGCACAAAGGTAATGAATGCATCAACAAAATATTACTGTGTGGTGTTTTGTGTCCAGGAACCAAAAGTTGTCTTCTGTACCTACAGGAACCTGCTGCATTGACAAAGCAGGCCGGTATATGTGGGGTGCTGGCTCTGTTCTATAGCAACTACTTCAAGACCATACAAGTCACATCCAGCTTCACTTTGGAAATGATAGGGTTTAACAAATAGTAGTCACACTGTACTATTCCCCATTTCTAACTTTAGGAAGAGACTGGAGTGTGTTCATAGGTTTTACATTTCTGGTGTTGAATCACTAATCAGAGGAAGGATTTTGACCTACTTGAAAAGCCCATCAGACATAATCCCTTAATCACTGCCATGTTCTCTGGACAGTAAAGTGGCTACACATTAAAGACTTTAAAAGTTCAGCTTCTTCTGGATTCCCCAAAGAGTTTCTGCATTCTTCTTCAAATGGGACTCCTCCCCAGATTCAGGCTCACCTTCACCACATCTGAAATGTCATTCTGCCTCAAGACACATGGAACACTGAGAAAGACATCATTTTATACACACATACACACACACACACACACACACACACACACACACACACACGATTTCCCCCAATTACATGTTAAAACAATTTTTAACATGTTTTTTTTAAAGTTTTGAATTTCCAATTCTATCCTTCCCTCTCTCCATTCCCTCCCCCCTCCCCAAGATGGTAAGCAATCAGATATGTTATACATATGCAATCATATAAAATATTTCTATATTAGTCATTTTGTTCAAGAAGACTCAAATAAAAGGAAAAATAACAGAAAGAAAGTGATAAATAGCGTGCTTCAGTCTGTATTCAAACAATATCAGTTCTTTCTCTGGAGGTAGATAGTATGCTTCATCATTTGTCCTTTGGGATTGTCTTGGATCATTGTGTTGCTGAGAATAGCTAAGTCATTCACAATTCTTCATCACACAACATTGCTGTTACTGTGTACAACATTCTCCTGGTTCTGTTCACTTCACTATGCATCAGTTCATGTAAGTGTTTCCAGGTTTTTCTGGAAACTTCTTAAAGCACGATGATCTTCCATTACAATCATATACCATAGCTTGTTTAGCCGTGCCCCAATTGATGGGCATCCCTTCAATTTCCCATTCTTAGCCACCACAAAAAGGGTTACCATAAATATTTTAGAAGACATCATCATTAATGCCATATACAGATCCTTAATCATGATGGAAATTGGATGCTCTCTTCTAAGATTCTTCATTATGTTTTCTGCCAGATCTGCCATAGAAGACAAGCCCACTTGGCCCAGGAAGTATGGCCCTTCAACTTGATCACCTCACAATATGTTCAACCACCTCTTTATGAATGTCTTTCCAATATTCTGAATCAGCATCAATTCCTAAAGCAGTTGAGACATAGGCAACATTCACTCCAGTCCACACAGTAACACTGAAGTCTCCCCCAAAAACCCATCTTTGACAACTTGAAGAATGGACACCGAGTCTCTCCCCCATCACGTAACAGAAATGGGCAGAGTCCAGATTGCAACAACTTCCCTAACGCTATGACTTGGTTTTAAGGAAAGCCACTCAGCTTCCACGTCACATATCTCAAAATACCCACTGGATTGGAAACAATAAGCAGCTTGCAGTTAGGGCTGTATTTAACAACATGGGAAATGATGAATTTAAAGATATTCACATCACACCGGACCAAATTAAGATGACTTTCTCCCTTCTGCTAACGTGCCCCAGCCGTAACAACAACCAGCTCTGATTCTGCAGTCCCACTACAGTCTTTGACAGAGACAATCTTTGGTGTGCTGAGGAAAAGGCCGCCATGTTGGAGACCCATCATCTCTCTCTTTCGTTTGTCTTCTATTAGATCAGCCAGGGCAAGTTCATCAACCAAATCCTTTATTAAGATATTCAGGGCACATGCCATGCCAACCGCACTAATCCCAACAACAGTGATCTGGTTACGGGGAGACTGGTCTTCTTTTAGGACATTCGCAATCAGCTGACCCTTGACAGTAGTTCCCATTTTGGAGAAAATCCGAGCTCAGATACGGTTGGCTGGGCTTCAAGGACTTCTAAGTTAGATGTGAGACTGCTGCTCCTGGACTTGGGCTTAAACATTCTTTTTTTTTTTCATTTTAAGTTCTGAGTTTTCTCCCTCCTTCTCATCCCTCCCCCATCCATCGTGAAGGCAAGAAATGTGATACCAACTATACATGTGAAATAATGCGAAACAGACTTCCATCTCAGCCATGCCGCAAAAAAAGCAAGAAAAATGACGCAAGTGAATACCTAGGCGCTACATATGTATGCTACAATCTGCACTGAGAGCTCGTCAGTTCTCTGCTTGGAGGTGCATCCTTTGCGGTGGTCTTGGATCACTGTCTTGATCAGAGCCTTTCACAGCTGATCATTGCTACAATGTTGCTGTCCCTGTGTCCAGTGTTCTCCTGGTTCTGCTCACTTCACTTCGCATCAGTTCATATGAGACTTGCCAGGTTTTTCTGCAACCATCCCCTTCATCATTTCTTACAGCACAATAGTATTCCATCACAATCATATACCACAACTTGTTCAGCCATTTCCCAACTGATGGGCATCCTCTCAATTTCTAATTCTTTACCACCACAAAAAGAGATACTATAAATATTTTTGTACACATAGGACTTTTTCCTATTTCTTTTTTATCTCTTTGGGATACAGACCTAGTAGAGGTATTGCTGGGTCAAAGGAAATGTACAGTTTTATAGCCCCCCGGGCATAATCCACGTTGCTCTCTAGAATGGCTGGATCAGTTCATAACTCCATCAACAATGCATTAGTGTCCCAGTTTTCCCACATCCCCTGAGAGGTGGATAATCTGGAGAGAAATAGCCCCTTGAGGGCAGGGATTGCCTTATGCCTTTCTTTGTATCCCCAGCACCTAGTATAGTGCCTGCACACAGTAGGTACTTAATAAATAACTTACTGACTGGACAGGGAACTGGCCTCAAAGCCACAAAGACCCTGGTTCAAGCCCCGCGTGGGACAATTACTGGCTCTGTAACCCTGGGCAGATTACATAGCCTCTCATGGCTCCAGGAAATAGCCAAAGACTCCAAGTGGTAGAGAAGGTACTGACCCAAACTGGTGGTGAAAATTCCCTCATCCAGGAGTTCCCTTTAACAGTGAAATCACAGAATTAGGTCCTATCCCCAACCCTGTGACTTTATCTGTGACAGAAAACATTCTCATGTGAAAATCCCTCCACCAAGCCATACAGATAAGCACTTTATATCATTTTATCCTGGGAGGTTGGTGCTATTATTATCCTCATTTTACAGATGAGGAAATTGAAGCAGACAGAGGTTAAGGTACTTGCCCAGGATCCAACAGCTAGTATGTGTCAGAGGCAGGATTTGAATCTGAGTTATCCTGACTCCAGGTCTGTGACTCTACCTACCATGGCACCACCAATTAGCTGCTTATTTTTCACCTTAAAGTTTTCTAGAATGACCTGGATTTGCCTGCAGTCACTTAGCCAGCATGAAGCCTTCCAGGCTTCAAGGCCGTGTTGCCTCTCTGGGCTAAAGCTATCACCAAAATACATGACCTTTTATAAAGCCTCTGATGTGGAGGCTGTAATTCCCAAATTCACTTCTTCCACTTTCTGAATCTCAGGATCACACAGAATCAGAGCTCTAGAGCTGGAAGGGACCTCAAGGTCATTTAGTCCAACCCTTTCATCTTACAGATGTGGAAACTGAGGCCCAGGGAGGAGAAGTCAAATGTTCATTCACTGGGAATTTATTAAATGTCTCCTTCACGTACAACATTGCAAGAGTTTCTTTGAGGGATATAAAATCTAAAAATAAATAAATAAACAGGCAAACTGATAAATAAATAAAGGCAGGAGGCAGATCCCTGCTCTGAAGGAGCTTCCGATCTTCTTGGAGAGGCTGAAGTAGGCAAATGAGGGGGCAGATTGGGAAATGCGTACAAATGAATGATAATGACCCTGGAACACCAGGGAAATGTGCCATCAAGGAAGGCCTGTTGGAGGTGCCGAGCCCTGAGCCAGGTTCTGAAGGAAGGAACTGAGAAGACCACCTTTCCACTCCAGACCCCAGTGCAGCTACATTGCCTAAAGCCAACCAAAAGACGTGCCTGAAACATTCCTCTCTAGATTACCTGAGGACAGATTCCAGAGAGCTGCCGGATTCCTGTCTGCCCGCCTCATTTTGAGGATCCTTCATCACAAATTTTTCCAAAGCTTCAAATGCTTGTTTCGATTCTTTAGACAACACAAACATCTTCTGGCACTTTACAGTAAAAGCTTCATGATAAGAACGTTCAAAGTTGTGCTCATGGTCTTGAGAGACAAAAAAAAAGGTATCTGTTAATACCTGGTATGGCAAGACTCGGTCATCAGCTGTGCACGGCTCATATCAGCTTCCCCGCACAGGCCCTCGCCCCTCCTCTGAGTCAAGCTTATACTGGCAACTCTACGGGACAGATTGTTCCGGCCTCAATGAAGACTGAGTAAACAACCGGATCTTTCTTAATTCCCTCAGTGTGTGCCTATGTAGGTATCTAAATTTTTCCATGACCTCAAATCAAAAAGGTCAAAAAGCTGACCTTGCTGTGTTCTCTCACCATTTCAAATAAAAAATTTTGAAGCAACCAAAATGAATTTCTAGGGGAAACACAGGCAATGCAAAGGGCAAAATGCTACTTCTCATTACTTATGCCGGTGAGGCTGTATGGTAGGGTCACTCTATGACATTGGACAAGGTCCAAACTCTCTGGATGTCAGTTCCTTCATGAGTGAAATTAAAAAGCTGGACTAGGTGGTTTTTAAGGTTGCTTTTAGCTCTAAAATTCTGCGATGCCAAATTCAGTTTAAAAGGACTCAACACTCATCCATTTAGGAGTCACCTACATTCCCTTGCTTTTGGTTATCTGTCTTTTCGTTCGTAGTACAAAATAATGGACATCGTGGCACAAGGAAAGAGAGCCAGCCTTGGAGTCAGGAAGACCTGGGTTCAGGTTCTGCCACTAAACACTCAGGAGCTCTCCCAATTCTACACTGACTGCAACCTGCCTCTGACTTAGAGATGGGTCCTAGGGAGCGGCCCGAGTCACATGAGGCATCACACACCTCGAGTGAGGGTAGCCTTTCCACATCCTCACATTCCCACAACCCTTCAAGGTCTACATGACAACCCTAAGAAACTGGTAATGTAAGGGGCAGCTAGGTGGCGCAGTGGATAGAGCACCGGCCCTGGAGTCAGGAGGACCTGAGTTCAAATCTAACCTCAGACACATAACACTTACTAGCTGTGTGACCCTGGGCAAGTCACTTAACCCCATTGCCTAGCAAAAAATAAAGAAAAATAAAGAAACAGGTAATGTAAGTATAAGGAGACCTGGGATTTCCTTGGTCCAGGATGAGATGAATCCCTCTCCCAATGTAGACCATCTCCTTCTCTGTAATCTACAGACTTGAGCAGTGGTGTCAAGCTCAAACAGAAAATGGGCCAGCACACTGACTTCAAAAACCACATATTAACATTATCTATGTCCCATGTTGTATTTTCATTCATTTCGTTAAGTATTTCCCAATTAAATGTTATTGCCTGAGGTACCACAGACAGTCTATGTCAAAGGTGGGGCTCAAACCCACATCTCCCTGCCTCACTTTCCATCCATTAAGCCACTCTGCCTCCCAGTACGAGATCGTTATTACCATTTGACAAAAGATATTGAGGCTCTGAGAGATTAGATAATTGGTCACACAGCTAGTGAGTCTTAGGTGGGATCCAAACCTGGGTCTTCCTAACTCCAAGTTCAGAACACTATCTACTCTACCACACTTCCTCAGGATTCTAACCCCTGCTCCTCCTCACTACTAAGCCCCAGCCTCAGGCCTTGGGTTACCGCTGTCAGTGGTTCACAGGACTCAGACTCCATTTACCATCAAAATGATGCTATACGCGGTGGTTGGGTTCTAGAGTCCAAGGGAAACAGCACAATACTTCTGGCACATCCTATTTTAAACTGGCTGTTGTGGGCTTGCCTGGCAATCTTACCCCACCCTTCTCCCCAGGGACAAAACTGTTTCTCTGGAAAAAAAAATTCTGCGATCCAAACAACTGACTTATAAACAGACTACCAAAATTGAGGCGGCTCACTTGCATGCTCTTCAAGAATGCACTAATTAGAAGCAGGCTAATCCTTTCTTGAGTCTAGCCCCTGCCATGATCAAATCTTTCTATGTATATGAGTCAGGATAATATCAGAGAGTTGCCTCTCAAAGGAAAAGAGGTTTGTTCATGATTCTTGCCCTAATTTACACAGCACCTGCTGCAGAGTGCACACTTAATAAGTGTTTATTGACTAACTGATTGACTTGGGTCACTGCTGCAAATCAGCATGTCCTCTTTCTCCCTTCTATTTCCCCAGAACCAGTTCATTTATCATTTTTGGCAAGAGTTCATTTTAATAAGACAGGGATCCACTTGTCATCAGAACACTCCAACAACTACTTACCTTTAAATGCTATATGATGCTCGAATTTTAAAAGCTTACTGAAAGACAAAGTACGGATGTTATGATGACTCTCAGCTCCAAGCCCTGATTTTTTACTAACCTACATTTTCTGGCAGAATGGAAGCAGGGTAAAGCTTTTCTATCACAGCTGACCAGTCTTTGAAAACCAATTGGCCTAACTCGTGGAGATCTCTGTAAAACCTGACCGGAAGCCCTTTGCTAATAATCTTGGCTTTGAGCTCACCGATCCGCCGTTTCTCGTATTCCTTCTGCTGGGATTGTGGACAGGTAATCTTTCCCTTTTCCTGTTCTAATGCTTTCAGTAGCATGGTACCAGTCCGAAAATAGTAATACTGAAACTGGGAATCCTTCATAAAGGCCGCCTGGATCACTTCCAGCTCTGTGAGGCTGCAGGTGAAATTCTCCAGGACCCAAGGGTAGCCATTGTGGGCTGCAACATATAGGGTCTTTTCCACCTTGGAGAGCCCTGGCAGGTCGGGGGTGCCAGTGGGCAGGAAATTTGTATCCTCATGGAGGAATTCGCCATAGGTCTGGCCCAGCATGCAAAGGAAAAAAGGGAACGAGTTGTTGATGTAATCAAGGCAAAGCTTCAGCTGCTGGGATTGCAGGCTGCAGTACGGCCTATGAAAGTTAGGGCAGAGAGGGTCATGTGCCTCAGATGCTGGCCACCTCAGGTCAATAGCCTTGAAATACGTCCCCCAGGAAACGCAGAGTTCATTAAGCTGGGGGAAGATGTTGTTTGCCAAAAAATCTCTTTCTTCTTGGAAATCCTTTATTGTGGAACATACATAAGGCTGGATGGGGGGCTGGGGCTTTGAGACAGACTGAGGACTCTTCTCCATTATTTCAATTGGCTTCTGAAACATTTCATGTGGCTCAAGAATTCACACAGTTGGACTCAGAGGAAATGCAAGGTGACTTGGCTCTTCGTTGTCAATACTTCTGAGACATCCCCCAATAACATTTGGCACCAGCAAAGTTAAACTTCTTTCCCAATATAGTTCATTTCTTGCTTAGCAACTTACAATCGATAGAGAGGTCAGAGTTGAAACAACCTAATGGAAGTAAGAAACAAACAAAAAGTACATTCATTTTAAAGGTTACCAGGAATGTATGTCTTTTTTCTGTCATTAGGAAGGACTTGGCTGAGGCAAGAAAATAACGAATATATAGATACTCACTCCATCTATCAAATAACCTGTTTTATAGGCAGTTTTCAGATGAAGAAATTAAAGCCACCTATAGTCACATGAAAAAATGCTCTGAGAATCACTATTGATTAGAGAAATGCAGATCAAAACGATTCTGAGTTCACACCTATCAGATTGGCTAACATGACAAAACAGAATAATGATAAATGTTGGAGAAGATAATGGGAAAATTGGAACTGTAATGCATTGTTGGTAGAGTTGTGAACTGATCCAACCATTCTGGAGAGCAATTTGGAACTATGCCCAAAGGGCTATAAAAATGTGCATACCCTTTGCCTCAGCACTTCTAGGGCTGTATCCCAAAGAGATCACACAAATGGGAAAAGGACCCACATGTACAAAAGTATTTATAGCAGCTCTTTTTGTGGTGGCAAAGAATTGGAAATCGAGGGGATGCCCATCCATTGGGGAATGGCTGAACAAGTTGTGGTATATGAATGTAATGGAATATTATTGTGCTACAAGAAATGATGAGCAAGCAGACTTCAGGAAAACCTGGAAAGACTTACGTGAACTGATGCTGAGTGAAAAGAGCAGAACCAGGAGGACACTGTACATAGTAACAGCAACCTTGTGTGATGACTGACTTTGATAGACTTAGCTCTTCTCAGCAATGCAAAGATCGAAGACAACAACTCCAAAAGACTCACAATGGAAAAGGCTAACCACATCGCAGAAAGAATTATGGAATCTGCATGCAGAACAAAGCATACTATTTGCTCTGCTTTTCTTCTGCTGTTTTGTTTTGTTTCTTCTTTCTCGTGATTCCTCCTATTAGTTCTAATTCTTCTTTATGTCATGACTAATGTGAAAATACGCTTAACATGAATACATAAGTGGAGCTTATATCAGATTGCATGCCACCTTGGGGAGGGGGAAGGAGAAGGAAGGGGAGAAAATTTAAAACTCAAAATCTCATAAAAGTGAACGTTGAAAAACTAAAACTAAATTTTTTTTTTAAAAAGTAACCTGTTTTATTCATACCATCCATTACACCTTATATCAACTCCTTCTGCCCACAGCAAAAACATGTGAAAATGAAAACTGCTCAGAAAGCAGGCCAAAAGGAAGCTCGTCAGCTACATCCAGAGAAGACAGAGCTGAAACTAGCAACTTTCACGCCCAAGACAAGGAGAATAACTGTGGTCTCTCAATGGAGATATATGTAGGGATGAAGTAAAAATGATGGCCAGGAAACAGATCTGGGAAGAAAGGGAGGAAAATGGAGGACTGAAGCAAAGGTTGAGGCAGAGAACACACCTTGTGCCTGAGAAGAGTTGGTCAGACCATTGTAAAGTCAAGCAGCTTCCTTGTGTTTGCTGAAAATTCTCCCCGCTGAGCTCCTGGAGGGCTTGTGACACTTACGGACAAAGGACATCAAAGTCTACCCTGCTCTAAAACAAGGTGACTGGTTTATGGTGTTTTCCCCTGTGCTCCCCATTACTACATTTCAAATCAATCAGTCCACAAGAATCGTTTCCTGTGTGCTAGGAACTGGGCTCACCCGCTAAACATACAAAGAAAGGTAAACATATGGTCCCTGCCCTCAGGGAGCTCCCATTCTAATGGGAAAGACCCTGGGAACATACAAGACGTGGACAGAGTAGATGGAAAGTAATTTGACAGGGTAAGGCAGTAGAAAATGGGGTATCTGGGAAAGTCCTAAAGAAGGTAGGGATTAAGATGAGTTTTAAAGGAAATCAGGAAACCAAGAGGCAGGACATTCCAACAACTGGGGACCAGTCAGTAAAATGCAGAGAGATGGGAGATGGCTTGTCATGGGTGAGGAGCAACACAGGCCAGCCCAGCTGGACCACAGAGGAAGTGTAAGAAGACTAGAAGGTGGCAGGAGAGCAAGGATTCTCGCTGGCCTCACCATCCCAGAGTCAGGCAGCCGTATCTCCCCCTCGGCGTCCTAGGGGGAGTGACTCTTCTCTACCGTTATGGGCTTGAGTCCCCATTCTGGATGTGTTTCCCCACATACACACACTGTTAGCCACTAGTGTTTGGGCCCCCAGCTCTATTCAACCAATTTGCATCAATTAACCTTTACAAAGGGATATTCACTTAAAAGAGGTAGCAGGAATAGAAGTTACAAACATTTCCCTCCCAGCACTTCAGGGGTATGCTGTCTACTTTACCACCTCAGGCTCTGGAGACACACTTTCCATATAACATTAGTGCTGCCAAGTTCACATCCAAATGGGGCATCACTACCAGATGAATCCTCATCTCAGCTACTGCAGGCTAGCCCTGGAAGCTTACTCATCTTAGCAGAACTGGCTGTAAAACTGACCATGGACTTCCAGAGGGCTCATTCTCCTGAACTTTTAAAAGTCACAGGGTCATAACCTGCAGATTAGTCTCCTTCATATTAAGAGAAAAACAGAGAATAAATGACAATGCGAAGTACCAAGGCCTGTTTTCACAGGGTAACATGTTGGCATAGATAGGGAAAGGCCTGAGACTCCTCCCCGTGCAGCCCTGTCCTTCACCGGACACTGTCTAGTAGGAATAAGTCAGCCAAAGAAGTTAGATGCAGAGAGAATGAAGCTAGGCTGACTTCTACCTTTCTGAAGCACCCCCCACTCCATGTCTGCCACTGCAGCCCATCAATGAGACCGCCTTTCACCACTAGTTAGCAGGCCAGACCCAGTGACAGAACGTGGAAGCATGCTCCAGAGCTTCTCTGAGCACCGCCCCCCAGCACGCGTCGTCACCAGGACTCTCAGATCAGGGCTCCCTGGCCTCTTCCGCATAGGGAAAAGCATCCTCTGCATCGTGGGCGTGAGCCAGGGACATAGTGTGAGAGCTTCAAATGCCAAGCAGAGGGCTTTCTATTTGACTCTGGATGTCATACGGAGCTTCTGGATGTTGTGTGATGGGGGTTAATAATACGCAGAGAAAGACAGCATAGCTACATTGACCTACATATAGTACATACTGTAATATTTAGTAAACTTATTACCCAATTCAACTTGACAGCCATGTTCCATGGATCCAGAAGCCAAACAACCACAACCATCCTGAACTACGCTATGAACCCAGAAGCAAATTGGAAAAAACAAAACAAAGCAAACTCAACAAGCCAGGAGTGTACTGGAGCTGGCTAAAACTGGCTTCTAAAAGCCAATTGTTAAATTTTGTGGGAAAATGTATCCCTCAAAAATTGCAAACACTACTAATTAGGGATCAGTTGAGTGTTTTGTTAATTGTCTAGATTTAACAAAGTGATGGAGAAAATATAATGCAGAGTTGACTTAAAAGTGCATTGTGGGTACATTTTTTAATAAAAGAGCCAGTTGTTAAACATATATGCCAGCACACTGCTGGGTCAGACAAAGAGAAGTTTCCCACAGAGAGCTTTTTGTCCTGGAGGCAGCTGCAAATGCAAACAGCAAGCTCTACCCAGAATGGCAGTGGTTTTCTTTTTAAAGCATCTGAGGCTAACTTCATTGAAAGGGAGTCTTTAAAGCAGGAATTCCTCCCTCTCTTATAAATATTTTAGCACATAGTTAGAATTAAGATCCACAATGTTTTATTTAGACCTCAGTGGGACACAGCAGCTTCAACACTTTTCATCATTATGTAACTGAAGACTAGAGGAAGTCCTACCCTCTGGCTGGTCAGAACCTTTCCTCAACCCCTCCTCCCCTCTCAGGAATATATGGAAAGAATCTGGTGCTGTCAAATGTGTGTATTCAAAAGTTAGGTGTAAGCTCTGGCCCAGTTCTTTTGGGAGTACCCTTTGAGCACTCAGGTGGCTACATTAAAAATAGGGAGTATGTTTTGATGCCCAGACTTTCCGGGCGGCAATTTGGAATTGGGAAAGAAAAGCGTCCATACCTTTGACCTAGCCATCCCAATAGTGCACAAATACCCCCAAAGAAGTCAAAGATAAAAACTAAGGTCCAATATATACCAAGATATTCATAGCAGTGTTCTTTCTGCTAGCAAAGTACTAGAAACTAAGTGGTACACACTGATTAGGGAATGACTGAAAAACTATAATATATAAATGTGTAGTACAGGTATGTAAGGCAGTATGGCACAGTAGGTAGAGGACATACTTTAGAGTCAGGAAGACCTAAGTTAGAGACCTGTAGCATATAGGAGCTGTGGGACCACAAACCAGTAAGTCCCTTAAGCTCTCAGATACCTAAACTACTTGCTAAAACCATAAGCCATCTAACAAAACTCTTACCTGAGGGCAAGGCCAAGACGATGGATTAGAGACAGCAACCCTGCTGAACTCTCCCCACCTTCCCCTCCAAACAACTTTAAAATAACACCTCAAATCAAATTTTGGAGCAGCAGAGCCAGCAAAAGGCCAGGGTGGGATATTTTTCCAGCCTTAAACAGCTTAGGAGATGAGCAGGAGAGGTGTGTAACCCTGGGGTGGGCACAGGCCCAGAGCACAGTGAGAACACCAGCACTGGGCCTTGGAGGCCGCTGCTGCAACAGCAGCAGCAGCTTTGGGAGCTCTCAGCCCAGAGATGGGAAGGGGGCTGGGACCCTCTGCTGTCACTGGGTGTAGCTGGTGCTGACTGGCAGCTCTAAAGGCCCACACGTAGTTCTGGGCCCCAGTTCCAGGGCATGGAAGAGCACTTCTGGTCTTTCACTAGGGAGCAGGGGCCCTGGTGAAGAAGAACATTTGCCCTTTCAGGGGCAGTGTTCCCCTAGTGAACCTGGTCATGGTTCCAGGGTCAAGAGGAATGCTAGAGATTGAGACTACAGAGAACCAGCAGCCTTTCTTGGGTAAAGAACAGAGCACAGACCAGGAAGACAATGACCACAAATGACCACACCTCTCCCAGGATCACACCACCTTGGAAACACCAAAA